CTCAGCACAGGCAAGGTGCGGCTCTCAGCACAGGCAAGGTGCGGCTCTCAGCACAGGCAAGGTGCGGCTCTCAGCACAGGCAAGGTGCGGCTCTCAGCACAGGCAAGGTGCGGCTCTCAGCACAGGCAAGGTGCGGCTCTCAGCACAGGCAAGGTGCGGCTCTCAGCACAGGCAAGGTGCGGCTCTCAGCACAGGCAAGGTGCGGCTCTCAGCACAGGCAAGGTGCGGCTCTCAGCACAGGCAAGGTGCGGCTCTCAGCACAGGCAAGGTGCGGCTCTCAGCACAGGCAAGGTGCGGCTCTCAGCACAGGCAAGGTGCGGCTCTCAGCACAGGCAAGGTGCGGCTCTCAGCACAGGCAAGGTGCGGCTCTCAGCACAGGCAAGGTGCGGCTCTCAGCACAGGCAAGGTGCGGCTCTCAGCACAGGCAAGGTGCGGCTCTCAGCACAGGCAAGGTGCGGCTCTCAGCACAGGCAAGGTGCGGCTCTCAGCACAGGCAAGGTGCGGCTCTCAGCACAGGCAAGGTGCGGCTCTCAGCACAGGCAAGGTGCGGCTCTCAGCACAGGCAAGGTGTGTCTCTCAGCACAGGCAAGGTGCGGCTCTCAGCACAGGCAAGGTGCGGCTCTCAGCACAGGCAAGGTGCGGCTCTCAGCACAGGCAAGGTGCGGCTCTCAGCACAGGCAAGGTGCGGCTCTCAGCACAGGCAAGGTGCGGCTCTCAGCACAGGCAAGGTGCGGCTCTCAGCACAGGCAAGGTGCGGCTCTCAGCACAGGCAAGGTGCGGCTCTCAGCACAGGCAAGGTGCGGCTCTCAGCACAGGCAAGGTGCGGCTCTCAGCACAGGCAAGGTGCGGCTCTCAGCACAGGCACATTTACCACCCAAACTTCGCCTCCATTACCAAAAAAGAAAATCAGCTGGACAATAAAATTTTAATAATGGTAGTTTAAGACGAAATATATAAAACACGGTCAAAATTAAATGAACAAATAAAACGATCAAGCGGTAAACATTAATTGCGAAATATAGATCTTTATTGCGATACAAAAAAAATCACATTAATGTGATGTATTATTGAGAAAATCAGTTTGAACCATGAGAAGGATTCGAAGTTACACTCTTGGGTATTCCTGGCACTCGTGGGTTTAAGGCGTGCTTGGGTGTACCCAGGGTGTTGGTTCGAATACTCCTCTCCCAGGTAACGATACTCCAGAAATATTCAGCGTCGGCTTCGCCATTGACTCCTGAGGCGTATCGAGGCAGTGGAGACATTAAGGCAGTGTTGAGGACCCAGCTGTCTCAAGTGCTGGTCACAAGATCGAGGACGTGTGTGATTATTTCCAACACACGTCAGCCTGTTGTGCATGTCAGTTATACCCCGAGCATCCCATTAAGCTCGCGTGAAAGTTCCTTGATCATGGTGGGTGTGTTATAAGCAGCCGTGCAGTGAATTGTAGCATTTACTGCAGTCTTAAGTTTAGTGAAACACCTTAGATGTGTTGTAGAGATTCGCGGAGTAATGACATTTCCCAAACCATGTGTGTGTATTAGTATGTCACATATGCACGTATTTAATAAGTCAATATTGACTGTAAGAAAGTGCGAGAACGGGTTGGTGTGTAGGTTGCATAAGATGAGTCACAGTAACGTGGCTGAAGATACGATGACCAAATAACACATCAGAAGAGGCAGAAACGACAACGTTTCGGACCATTATCAACACACGACTTGATACTGGTCCAGGACGGACCGAAACGTCGTCGTTTCTGCCTCTTGTGATGTGTGGTCTGGTCATCGTGTGTATGGTTAAGAGTAATGAACTAGTTACTTTAATTTACACATGGTTGTATCACTGGTCGATTCTCCCTCAGATATACCGAAAGATATAGATATTATGCCCGAAACGCTTTGTGTAATAGTGGCTTTAGGCATTGTATGTGCTAGCTCTATCGATAAATCTATAAATTTTTGTATAACCTCTTATATGTATGTACTTTACCTGAATAAACATTTGAATTTTTTGAATTTGAATACATGTGTCGTCCCCGTTAAAGGGAACCATGTCATAGTAGTAATACTTGATGGAACTGAAGCTCTAATTCCCAGCTTCACAGGTTTAGTTACACGCGACGTATACTCTATTCGAATTAATTATGGATTTTGTGCTGTTGCTCTAAGCACTTTTGTTGCTAAGCGGTACGAGTAGTTGGTCATATTGCATGAGCATTATTGCACACAGTATACCACTATAAGCCTGCATTGTCTCCATTCCAACTATACTTCTGCCCGAAACGCTGCGCGTATTAGTGGCTTTAGGCACAGTATGTACTAGCTCTATCTAGACATCCAATATTCTGTTTGTAACTCATCTTGTATGTATGTATCGACTTGAGAATGGTCCAGGACGGACCGAAACGTCGTCGTCCCTTCACCTTCTAGTGTGTGGTCTGGTCAACATACTCCAGCCACGGTATTGTGACTCATCGCCTGCACTTGTATGCATGTACTTTTACCTGAATAAACATTATTTTTTTTACTGTTTATTGTTTACTGTTTTACTGTTACTGTTCGTTTTGTGGTCAGTACTATAGACCAACCTTCACTAACGACCACACCTACCATCTCTAAGTATAAAATATGAACATGTAATCCATGTAGAAGCTATGAATGGAGACGTGCGTCGTTTCTGCCACTCTGTAGATTCCCTTAACGGGACAGACGTTTGGGCAAGTTTCCTTTCACCTGAAGCACCTGTTCATCTACCAGTAAATAGGCACATGGAAATAGGTAACTGTTGTCAGCTGCGTCTTGAGGAAGGTCAGTCGGTGACCTAAGTGGACTTCAATAAGGAAGGGGGGGAGGACCCCCCACAAGTTGTGGGGGGGTCTAGTTCAACTGGGTATACAGAGTATACTCCCCCATAGGGGGGGAGGGGTATACTGCCACTTGGCTGCCAGATGTAAAAGTCAAATACGGACATGTTTACATCTTATTAACACTGAGGGTGTTATTATTTTCATTCGGTACACTAAGTTCCTTGGTGTGGTTACTTAACCCTCTCCCCCCCCCCCCCACACCTGGGCAGGTGTTGGGGGGGGGGCGGTTACTGTCACCCCCCCCCCCACCCACACTAACGTCTGGTAACGCAACACTCTGGAAGGGGAACATTACGGGCCAACAGTCACGATGAGCAGGTATACCACATACTGGTGAGGAAATATACTTCATACTCTCAGGTGAGGAGGTATACCACATACTCACACAGGTGAGGAGAGTATCAGGGTGTCTGAGGCAAAGGGTGCTAACAGTCAAACCAAAGGTGGCAACGCCCCTGAGCTCTGAGACACTCTGAACGTAACTGTGTGGGTGTATTCACCTAGTTGTGCTTGCGGGGGTTGAGCTCTGCTCTTTCGGCCCGCCTCTCAACTGTCAATCAGGGTGAAAAAACTCTGCCCATTATTTTCCCATCATCGCCGGGGATCGAACCCGAACCCAAGGATTACGAGACCCCAGGCGCTGTCCACTCAGCCACAGGCCCCTGTACGTGTGCATGCGTGTGGGCTGGTACATTTTTTCCCAGCATAGTCTAATTCAGTAAGACGTAGACTTGAGCACAATTTACTTACGGTTTAGGAGAGACGTGTGTAAGAAGCACAGTAAATAGTGCCATGGCCATGATACACTGTTGTTTGGGTCGAACTCTTACCACTTTGTTTAATAGTCTATCTGTATCCTAAGCAAGAATGTTTGAATATGGAATTAAGGAGCTCACTCAGCAACTCCTGTTGCAATTATACTGTAAATCGCCATTCTATTCGTTGAATCGGTAAACTGCAAGTGATATTTTTATCTTGCAATGCAAGAGACGGGCAGGGGGGGGGGAGGGGCGGGGGTAGAAAGTGTTACATCACGGACTTGTTAGTATGCTGGGGCAGTGTAGCAGGCGATGGTATTCCCAATGTCTGTAGTCACTCACTCTCTCACACACCACCTGGTGTGGTGGGCCTGGTGGCTGAGTGGACAACGATCGGGATTCGTAGTCCTAGGGACCGGGGATTGATCCCCGGCGATGGCGGAAACAAAGTAGCAGAGTTTCTTTCATCCTGATGCGCCTGTTCACATAGCAGTAAATAGGTATCTGGGAGTGACGGCTGCTACGAGCTGCTTCCTGAGGGTGGGGGGGGGTGGGGGTGAAAAAAATTGATTGACAATTGGGAGGCGGGCCAAAAGAGCCAGAGCTCAATCTCCGCAAGCACAACTAGGTGAATACATACACACACACACACACACACACACACACACACACACACACACACACACACACACACACACACACACACACACACAGAGAGAGGCGGGACGGAAAGACACACACACACACAGAGAGGCGGGACCAAAGAGCCAGAGCTCAACCCCCGCAAGCACAATTAGGTGAGTACAATTAGGTGAGTACACACACACCTACACACACACACATGGGGTATGCTATTCTGCATACCCCATATTCTGTATGGGGGTGATGGGGTATGCTATTCTGAAACTCAGATGAGTCACAGAGATGTTAGGAAGTTTTCTTTTAGCGTGAGAGTAGTGGGGAAATGGAATGCACTTCAGGAACAGGTTGTGGAAGCAAATACTATTCATAATTTTAAAACCAGGTATGATAGGGAAATGGGACAGGAGTCATTGCTGTAAACAACCGATGCTCGAAAGGCGGGATCCAAGAGTCAATGCTCGATCCTGCAAGCACATATAGGTGAGTATATAGGTGAGTACACACACCTACACACACACACACACACACACACACACACACACACACACACACACACACACACACACACACACACACACACACACACACACACACACACACACACACACACACACACACACACACACACACACACACTCACTCACTCACTCACTCACTCACTCACTCTATTTCCTGTCCCCAAGCCTGTTTCCCTGCATGAAGTAGTGGCAGTAACTTGGAGCGTATTACAGGTGCTGGGCTGGAGATCCTGGGCCTGAGTCTGGATGGCGGGTCCAAGGAGTACCTGGAGGTGGGCTCCAAGGCACAGTTCGTGCTGAGGTGCGACTACAGGACGGGCTACGACGACCCCGTGCAGCAGGTCCGCTGGTTCATGTTCGGCTACCCGGTCTACACCTGGAGGGAACACCACAACCCCACAGGTACTCTCCCTCGCTCTCCTAGTTCATTTATTCCACCTGCAGTAGTCTTAAAATACTCGAGAAAAACGGTGAGTATACCATCCAACATCCTTCCCTCTAAACCTAAATGTTTACCTTGCTATGCGAAGGAGGCTTCACTGCGCCACTAACACTGAATTCCAACCTTTCCCCGGCAGGCAGGCAGGCAGGCAGGCAGGCAGGCAGGCTGGCAGGCTGGCAGGCTGGCAGGCTGGCAGGCAGGCTGGCAGGCTGGCAGGCTGGCAGGCAGGCAGGCAGGCAGGCAGGCAGGCAGGCAGGCAGGCAGGCAGGCTGGCAGGCAGGCTGGCAGGCAGGAGGGGATGCTGTCTGCAGCATCACTTGGTCTCCATAGAGGAGAGGAAATGCGATGACGTGATTCACCTTTATCCTTATTTAAAAATTCTTGAGTTACATTTCTCGTAGTTCTTCTACTTGTCTACTTGTCTTCTCGGTACCAAACGCTACCGAAGACTGTTCCAGATTGTCTTGGAAGACTGTGTACCTCATCTACGTCCCTCAAGGCCAATGACTCTGACCAACCTCCCTAGGATACATCCCACAATAGTCTCTTAACTCCTGGGTACCTATTTACTGCTTAGTGAACAGGGGCATCAGGCGTAAGGGAAAAAAAGCTAGTGCCTTAACGTCTATAGTCCTATTCTGGAATCGAACCCTGGGACCATTCGGTTAAGTCGACTGTTTTGACCATTGCTCAATGTTTATGGAATCGCCTAATGGTCTTTTTAAGCATTTCTCTTGCGGTGTGAGGTTTGATGTGTCTATATAACATCATTTATAATCTGACTACATCCTCCCCTCGCACCTTCCCTCTCACGCTCAAGTAATTTTAATATATATTTCTCATTTAGGTGTTGAGTTTACACCCTTCTCGTCCTGGTTTACACCCCTTGTGTCCTGTCGTCCTGGGTCTACCCCGTGTCGGCTCCTCTCTCTTTGACCATGTAATCATATCTCTTTCCATTTCTCCAGTATTGTAGGATTTATATATATTTCGGACAGTCGTCATAAATCGGGTCTTTTACGTCACAGACTAGTGTGTGTGTACACGTCTTCAAGGCTGGGATACAATTTTATTGTACACATGAAACAACATATGTTGTGTGTGTGTCAGTTGAAGTCGCTTGTTTTCACAACTTTTTGTAATTACCAAAGTGTAGAGCAACGCTCGTGGTGTCCCGTCTTCCTAGTACTTATTTTGTCATATGATGCTTTCAAACTACTAACTGTCTTAACATCCACCGCTTCGCACTTATTAACTTGTTCCAACAATCTAAGACTGTGCAAAGGATAATTTTCTATTTTGTTCCATCTTTGCCTCATTAGCTCTTAATCTATGACCTATTCTTGAAGTTACAGTTTTCAAGACTCGGTCAATTTTGGCGATTCCGGTCGATATTTTCTATGTAGTGATCGTATATTTGGTTTTTATAATGTAGAATTGTAAATGCATTAAGACTTGCAACTACACTAAGATTGTTCACTTTTGAGTAAATGCTACAAAACTCTTCAGGCATGCTTCACCCTTACATTGTGAAATTAAATTGTATTTTAAACATATTAAATATATAAATGGGAAATGTTCTTTACATATGCTGTAATTGCAATTTGTTCTCGGTGGTTATAAGATTTCATAAGCAGAGCTGAATTGTTCTCATCCCTATCTTAGTTTATAAACCTGGTTAGCACAGTATGTATGTCAGACAACCGAGATATGCATATAAAAGTTGTAAGCAGCCGAAAATAGCCATATCATGCATGGAAAACAAATATTCCTGTCTGTGCTGTGTATAGCCAATTGTTTCCATCTTGCCTTAAGCTTGAATTTTCTCATCCATTTCAATCCACTTTGTGTGGGCAGTGTCGCACTCACTGCTAGGCCTGGTGGACATCAACCCAGCGAAGGAGCCTCACAACATCCACTTCACTCACGTTGACTACACCTTGGCTGGGAACTACACCTGCCAGGTCTCCGCCGCCACCGCCACTGTCGAAGACACCTACTCCCTCTACGTTATAGGCAAGTTCCCTAGCTGGCCCTCGTCAGCCTTGTTGCCAGGGATGGGAGCCCAGCGCTCTCCTCCGCCCTGTTAACCCACCACTCATCACATCAACTAACAGAATTGAAAGATGGTCTCTTAAATCATCTATAATCATTAGCGTCTGTAATTAGGGATTAGTGTTCAAGTCTCGGTTATCTTTACTGAATTATTAATACTGTTTGTCGCGGCAAACCTAAACGATACTGAGAAATTGAATTGAAAATTGAAATAAGTTTATTGATGTAAAATACACACAAAGAGATGAGGTAGCTCAAGCTATTCTCACCCCGTTCAGTACATCGTGTTAATACATACATAGACACACATCACAAACAATAAACATATTACCAAACATTCTGAGAGATAAACATATACATTTCCTCCTTCACAAGTAGTATGGTATCAGACGTACTGAGAGGATCACTGGCACTGAGCGGGGATTGAACCAGCGTATAGGAGAGTGCCAGACGCGCGCCATACCTCTGTGTCACATGCTAAACAGTTATTTAATCTGGACACTACTGTTTCCTCTAAGGATTCTGTAGACCCCACCTATTGCCACAGTCTTTAGGAACAGTCCGCATACACTCTGGAGTAGGTATAGAGTTCTCCACCATTTCGCTCCCTTCAGATACACGAGGAAATCACAAATATGATATATCACGCTATTGTGATTTCGTGGTGTAAACGATATTCGTATCCTTTATCTACAGTAAAGCTTTCTAACTTGAAGTCGTTTAAAATGTCTGTTTATCTGGTGGTCATATACGAACAAGTATGTTCAACCGCCTTCTAAAGTGTGTATAGCTTCTAACATTTGGTATGGAAGTTTACTACAGCGTAGTCGAGGTCACTTGGTCAAGCTGGAAGTCTAGTAAAACTAATAAGAATTTTCACTTGGAAACTTTCAAAGATGGTGTAAATCTTCCTGAAGATTTATCTTTACAGGTTAGTTTGTGGGGTTTCTTTCTGACTCAGGAATTATACTTTGTGAATACAGTACTAAAAGTTGCCTAATTTCAATGGCAACAATTCGCATTAGAAAAATGTTTACTTGACAGGAATACAGATTGTTGAGAAATTGACGCTGATAATCTGTTCAATGCATATATAATGAATTAAAATGCTCACAGTAAAAATGAGAAAATCTCAGTCATTTAGGTCTGTACATGACCTCATATCTATAAATGAATGACTGGTGGACGCAAACCTACCCTGACTTTGCGCCCTGGTGAGGCCACTCCAGACCAGGCCGACACCAGAGCGCAACTCCATAGTCTCCTGAGACTGATGGATGACCTACTACTACTACCGGTGGGCATCGTAATGTTGTTAACACGTGTGTCCCATCACTTGGCGTCTGCTTACGTGTTCAGTGTTTCAGATGCGTCCTCTGCGCCCTACAACACTCGGGTGCAGGTGCTGAGTGTCATCAACAACAGCAGCGGCAACCACGAGGACAACAAGTACGAGGTCACAACCACTGAACCATCAAACATTGTAGAGTTTGAGAACGCTGACTGTACTCTAGTGTGGTCCTTCGTCACCCCCGCCATCTTCCCCAGACCCAACGTCACATGCGGCTACTACTCCTTTGATCACGACGACGTCATCCAGCGCCTCCCTGCTGGTCTCACTATGCACAAGTTTCCTAATGGTTCCTGGCGGGGCTCTTTCGAGTCCACTCATATAGAGGTCAGTATGGAGAGTCGTGCCTCTAAGACAATAGCAACACGTTACAATAATTATGGCTCTTGTTATTAGCAAAATATGTTATGGCATGGGAACCCACTCTTGATGTTATTGATGTGTTTAATAGCAATAAGAACATTGTTCTTTTAATTCATTTAAGAATTCTGGCATTGCCAATTATTTTCACATATATTCTGAAAGGGAACACCTGATTTATCTGTAAATTTCATGCTACTGTGGGGTTTGACCACATATATGACAGGTGCGAATAGTAGAGAAATCTGTTTGAATCCCTCATTATTATTACTTTGAAATTAATAATTCATTATTTTTTATTTAATATTTGAGTTAAGTCAATCAAGAGACCAACCCGGTCTTTTATAAGACTTGTAAGGTTGCACAGATCTATCGGGTATAGAAAAATAAGTATTGTGTAATGTCAAAGTATATTAAGGCTAAATAGAAATGTTATTGCCGGCAGGTGGCCAGCATACCCAAGAACCACCGTCTTGGGTGTACCGTCCGCATCCCTGAAACCTCCTACAAGAAAGTTATAAAAGCTGACGATGACTTTATTGTTGATGCTCTAAGTAGGTATTAAGCTTCTGTACCAAGGCACATTTACTGATTAGTTGATGTGTATTATTTTATTGTTGATAGGACAGTAATCTATCTTATATGAATATTTAACCAGTATATTATTGTTAGTTTAATAGCGGTTTAATTCCATCCAAGTAATTTGGTAACTTTAATGTTGTTTAGCTCCTGTTGGGTAAGATGCTTTGAAATAACTACATCTTTAAACTTTTAAGAAATTTTAGGAAAGTTTTTACGGGTCTACGTGGTTAAAACCATCATAGCTTTAAGTAAGACGCTACATTTCTGTTGCTGAACGTATTTTACACCTGCTAAATTATCACTTATTTTCTACTGAAGGCTACGCTAAATTATCACTTATTTTCTACTGAAGGCTACATACTGGCGTTTCATTGCACTAAGCGCTCTAGTTTTTACTAGTGGACATTCACTAGCGGTAGATGTAAATTAATGTGTATATTAGCATCAAAATCTGTATTTTACTTGTTGATAACCTAATAATGCTGAAAATATTTCACAATTGTGTTGTCAGTTGACAACACAGGATGCCCGGGGCTGACGATGGATCATGCCCCTGGCCTAAATGTGGAAATTCAAGATGCCACTTACACTTGTCACGATGATGTCATACCTGCTGAAAGGAACGGAGCAGCTATTGCAAAGCTCAGGTCAGCATTTTATTAGTTCTTTATTATATCTTTGGGTCCTTGAGCCTCTAGGAATTTTTCCATTTTTTTTTATTAAAGTGGTGTCCTGCCGTAGCTCCCCTTACCCTCAGGGAAATGCTTTAACATTGCACGAGAGTTGGGTCGCAGTAGCTTATGTTTACCTCGTGAACTGTGTATAAATGAGCACATGGCTCCTCTCCTAAAGGATCTTCCAGGTAGAAAATCCACGTGGGCTTGGTTGAACCTTTCAACGTCCAGTTCACCCTATTAAGAACAGACCTCCACATTTTACATTTAGTTCAATACCAAGGAAGCTGCAGCCCCCTCGACAAATTCAACTTCCAGTCATAGAACAAAACCACAGGTGGCAAGTTAGTTAAATACCAGGCGAGTTAGTAGCACAAGGAAGTTGAAAATTAACTCTAAAGTTCATTTTATAGTTTTAGTATGGCCTGATGCCAAGAGATACGCTTTGATGATCTTGTCTACATTTTTAAAGGCAAAGTAGAAGTGAACATAAATTAGATGCAGCCACCTAAGTATAATCGGTAGAGGTGAAGTAAATTATCGCATGAGCCAGTAGACCCACTGCAGCCTCCTGACTTCCTATGTTCTTATGGTAGCTGAGGCAGTGTGCTGGATGTTCTATTGTTAAGTGTTTGCTCGCAGTTGATACAGGTAGTTGGTTGAGATTGTCTGATATGTAGTGGACTACATATATATATATACACTGTAGTACTATAAATGACATCCGCACATATTTCTTAACAATTACACGTACTGCAAATTACATCAAGCCGTTTGCCATCAACCAAATAATGAGACGCCTTGCTGTAAACAGAATCAGGTAAACAGGGATATAAGGCCATCTGACCACAACATCTGGCATTACAGCCCCGCTCCTGTGCCAGGTAAGTCCACTACGGGCTCACCATAGCCCATGCTACTTGGAACTTTTTGTTCAGCATAGCCGAATCCAAAACAACAACAACATATGTTATGTCTGAACACAGCTCAGCCAGAAGTAACACCTCTGATCTACCTCAACCAACAGTCTCACAACATTGCAGCCAGCCCCAACATTCTCTTACCATCCTCGGTCCCACCAATTGTGGCCATTCTCTAACACCACTGGCACTCACTACAGAGTCTTACGGCTAAACATTATCACGACTGTTGTATCATACAGTAACCACTGCTGTAACTATTTACATCATATATCTTTAGTTGCCATATTGTGTGTGTATTGTCCAACACATCACAATGTTACAATACTCTTATATTCTACCATCTTTAACACCAACAACATCCAGCATACTGCCTCAATCTCCATAAGAACATAGAAAGTAAGGAGGCCGCAGTGAGCCTATTGGCCCATGCAGCACCTTACTACTTCACACTGTTATTGGGTTGCTGCAGCTATAGTGCAGCAACTACTTGTCTGCCTTTGAAAATGTTCAAATCAGCAAAATGCATTTCTTAGCATCGGGCCATAATAAAACTGTAAAATGAACTTTGTAGAGTTAATTTTTCTGTTGTTCTCAAGTGAAGAAATATAAGAGAAGACACACACACAGAAAGTTCAGTAGAACTTCGGTTTCAACCCTTTTAACCCTGTCGTAGCTCAGTCGATTAAGGCAGTGTCTGGGATGCTCCCGGACGCAGGTTCGAATCCTCGTCACGGCCCTTGTGGATTTGATTATAAGAGAAGATTCCTGGTAAAATCATTGATCTCGTCCTTTGTCATATTCAATAGCATGTCTACACGAAAGTAGTATGTTCATGTACCCACCTGTGTAAAAAAAAAATAAATTGCTACTAAAAAGTATACTGTACATGCCCAAAAGTGCAAGTGGGTTTATTTATTGTACTTATCTTACCAATGTATCTTTCACTGTTCATATATATTCATGTTCACTTAGTGTGGCTCACTAGAGATGTTGATAGAAATTTAAATAATAATCACATTACCCAACCGTTTCGGTCCTAAATGGAGATTGAACCTTGTAATGTATCTTTATCATTTATCAATTCTGACTGAAATTACCTACTTAAAATTATCTGCTAGATTAAGGACCTGCCCGAAACGCTGCGCGTACTAGTGGCTTTACAAGAATGTAAATACTGTACTATCCAATGTATTCTCACAAACCCAATGTACCTTCTTGTATATATATAAATAAAATAAAAAAAAATAAAATAAAATAAAAAATAACCCAGATTCCTGGGTTGTGAACCAATATATATAGTCCACTGTGCCAAAGGACCAGTGTTGGCCTCTAGGTGGTCAGAGTATGTCAGACAACCCATAACTAGCCTAGCTGTTGCCATGTGGGAAGAATGTATCAAGGAAACTGCAAACTGCTCCATTTAACTATTAGGGCGCCATTAAGAAAATATTTGTTACTGTATATATAACTTAAAATAATGTGTGTTGTATGCTCTCAGTTGCCCAGCTGGTCATACTGCCAAGTTCCCCGATGGCTCTGTGAAGCGTGGTTGGCAGGTAGAGCTCAGCTGCCAGGAGAATGATGTTGGCTGGCGCACCCGTAGCGATAAAGATAAGAAAAACTTGGGCACACTCTTCGACATTGCAGGACTACCTTACTGCGGTAGGTCAAGGCACAAAGCACTAAATGACATATTTTTTATGCACTGTGTTACTTCCAATTTAACAAGCCCTTACCATTAAGTACATACAGTATGACTGCATCCACAATCCACTTTACTGTGGTTTACCATGATTACATTTTTTTTAATGTAGGCCTATTAGCAGGTATGTGGGATTATTTTTTGTAATTTCCTACCCCATTCACATTTTCTTCTTCCAGTAGTGAAGATCTCGTGGTTAGCAAAGGTGAACAGTCCAAGTAAATGAAATTCACACCACTTGAACCTTCAACAAAAATTATTTGACAACCGCTAATCGCCGAACAACTCTTATGAACAACCTAATCCTTTCTTAGTTAGATCAGAAGGTCTAGGTGAAGAAGCCTTCTCATACTCTCACCTGGTGTTTTTTGATGAGTGGTTTATTGCACGATACCTACTGCACTTCTTTAATAATAGTTGGTCATTGGTGACCAGCGTAGGGGTCCTGCGTTTCAAACTTCAACTAGCATGTGTGCCAGTTGATTTGCATGTCTCTTACCTTTGTCTTGCTACTTTTTTTCATTTACAGTTTCATTGATATTACAAGTGATCGACTTTCATCAGTTTTTTTTTTTTTTTTTTTTTTTTTTTTAGAATTTTGATTCCCCTTTAGGGAAGGAAACAATGCATTTAGAGTTGAATCAAGCTGGGCAGTTTTACATGAATTGCCAGTGAAGTGAGGAACTGGAACAATAGTGAATTGTGGTAGAGTTACAAGTGGCACTTTGGGTATTAGGGAGGGCCAAAATTCAGCAATGTTTGCAGAGTTTACACTTGAGTGAGACATTGAATGACTATTCCTGGTTCCAGGCTACTTGTGCCCTTTTTCCCATTCCAGTGGGAAATTCCAAAAAAATATGGAGGTTGTTTACCTATGCTGGTAAAGTTGAGATTCATCTTCCAGCTAGTTCAGAACTTGATTCAGCTGTTCCATGATGTTCTGCAGTGTTCTTGTCACCTTTGGTCATCCCTGCTGTTGTAGCATTCTGGTTTGTTCTGGCTGAAGCTTCAGTCTGTGTTGATTTGCCAGTTATCTGTACCTCTGACAGGTTCGTTTGTCTTGTTTGCTACTGGTTGGGTCATTAGTGGTCCCCCTCACTCACTTTAGATGCCTAGTTCAACAGGCAAGTACTATACCCGATTAAATGGGCAAATATCCCTTTTTGCAAGGGCAAGTGTCTTGACTCTCTGGATGAAGTATCAGGTTCGTCAATTTCATGCCTTGGATCATGGGGTTAGTGTGCCAATTCTTTTGGTACATGCACTAGGTCCTCAGGTGTGTGCCTCAGGTCTCTGGAACATTTCCTGGGTGCATGCTGTGGTTCCAGGGAGGCCTGGTATAGATCACTGCAGGTACCCTGCTTCCAGGGTGTGTGCCCCATATCTATGAGTGCCCCAGCTTCTTCATGGATACCTTGGAGCATCAGGGGGTTGTCTCGGATCTTTGGATGAGTTTTTATTTCTCCTGGAGCATCCCAGTTCTCCAGGTGAGTGCTCCAGTAGTGTTTATTCTGGATCTCTGAGCAAAGGAAACAGTACCAGACCTGCTGGTTTATGCACCGAATCCACGGGGAAAGTGCCCTAAAGAGTCCAAGGTCAGTTTTAACCAATGTATGTTGTAGATTGCTAGGTGTGTGTTACAGGTCTTCAAGTTTTTTTTTTCCCCAAGTGAAGGTCCTGGGTCACCATTCGAGAGCCACAGTGCCCTGGGAGGTGCCTCAGTTCTTAAAGAGGCACCCAAGATCTCTTGGGTGTATCTCAAATCAGGTGGCTAACGTCATGGATTGCAGGACAAATGTAATACAACTCGGTAATGTTTATTAGCACGAACAGTAGGGCCAACTTCAATCAGACTATGACCACTTGTGTTTGTACTTGCAATATGTCATAAATAATCCATATTGTTCCTCCAGCTGACTTGCTGTAAATGTATAAATGACCAGAAAATGGGAAGTCTCGCCAATTACTGTGACAGAGCTCTCTCGTCCCTATCAGTTTTCCATTGAAATCTTTGTACTGTTGACCTGTGCAGCTTTGGAGTGTGTCCTCTGGCACACATGCTTCACATATATTGCCACTGCTTTACTCTTGGTTGTTCTTGCTTATATAGGCAAAGGCTAAAGTGTAACTCAGAGCATCAAAGTTAAGCACCTTCACTCTGTGATGTCAAACAACAATGTGACATGGCACAGCCCAATTATGAGAGGGTCTAACCTTATGCATGTTGTCATAAACCTCCTACCATTGATTGCGCAAGGTAATGTGCCCTTTAAAGTATTCAGCCCCATTACACAATTTATATATATCCTTAAAATATTGGGTACTGTGTTGGTCTGGGCTTTTTGTCTTCCTGGGGACAGTTCATAATTTTTTATTTCTTTGAGAACAGGGTTGTTATAACAGAATTTTATATAATTATTATGATATATACTGTAACATGGTTTGGGATCCCTAAATCATTCACTCATAAAAATCATATTGCATGTGACATTATTTTACACTCTATTTATACATAGTAAAAAATGTAAAAAAATGTAAATTGAGTTTCATACATAGTATATTCTTGGTGATAACAGTTTATGGTGTGTCTCTTTCTGTTCACAGAGCCAGGAATGTATTCTTCAGCTTATGGGATTGGTGACAGTTTCTGGGTTGTCCTGTTGACGTTACTGTCTCTGGCTGTTATGTTTGGCCTTTGACACACCCCACCACCAGGAAGCACAGTGATGATTATTATTGTTTTCATTACGTACAGTGTTCCTTTACCCCACGAGTGGTAATTATAAGACATCTATTTAATTAGATAAAAATATTGTTGAACATGCCATATCACCCTGGTGTGTAGGGGTATGAGGGGACAGACTTGGTTATAGTAAGCAATATATGTATCAATACCTGGCAAATCTTGTTACGCCTATTCATTTAAGTGTTCATAGTCACCACCACTAAACAAGTTTTACACTGGACTGCAGTTGTGTGCTAACTGCTCAACTAAGAAGTTAATTTGTCACTGGTTATAATGTATTTAACATGAATGAGTTCTAAGTGGCTTTGATGTGTTTTTTGTGAATGATTTTAGCTTGATAACTAATATGGTAAATGTAAAGTGAATAATATTGCTGCTCTATTATGTGACTAAATTGGACTGGTAATTGCAGATCAATACAGCAGTGTGCATAATTCATCAAGTGATCACGATTGCTTGGTTAATTAATTTTGTTAGCTATGAATAACAAGTACATGTGCTACTTAGCCAAATGTAGTTTGGATTAGATTATGATAAAAGTAGCAGTCAAAGTTGTGCAAGCTTAATATTGCCTCAAAATCTTTGCTAAATGAACATTTGGCTTTGTTACATAACATTTCTTTAATTTCACTGTTGCAAGAATACAGCCAGGACAAAATTGTCTTGATGCAGAATTTATACCTATTGCAGCACTGTTAAAATTTCCATCACCAAGTAAAAGCACTGACAGTGTATGAAACTAAAGGAACATATATTGTTGAGCAACTAAGTTTCTATAATTTTTAAATGGGGATAAAAGAATTCACAGTAGTAGTTCGTTAAATATGAAGTGAAACACAATGTACTGTAATTTCGTGTACTGTAAACAAATCCACAAGGGCCGTGACGAGGAATCGAACCTGCGTCCGGGAGCATCCCAGACACTGCCTTAATCGACTGAGCTACAACAGGGTTAAAATCCACGGCCCTTGTGGATTTGTTCATTTGATACATCACGTTAGTGTGATTTCTGTGTGTAAAGTTAGTGTACTGTATATAGAATTTATAAGAGATGATGTACTTATGAAAATGTGTTACCTCATCTCTGGTGGGATAGTATAGAATAGCTTCTTTTCTGAATCATGTTATACACAGACAAATTATTGTCAAAGCAATATATTCATTATTCTAATGTATATCGCTACACATTAGCAACTTTCATACTTTTCAGTGATTATGTTCAAGCTGATGAAGAGTACTTAAATGAGTTAAATTAAGCAGTTCTATACTTGTAATTTTGTAATGCTGTGCTAACCATTCTCTTCATAAGCATCATGCGTTTTCAATTCTGTTATTATACTGTATTTACTATTTCATCTGGAGAGTTTAGTTATGCTACAACCAGCTGATATCTTGACTGAGCACGAATCTGTCACGTCCAGATCAAAGATGCTGAGACACCTTCATCCTTTAGTTAGATAAAACATTTTAGTTTTCGAGCAGATGCAGCCATCTCACTCTTGCAGTGTTGAGTCAGGGTGAGGTGATAATTCATATGCATTTGGTCAATGTCTTGTTTTCAAATTTAATCTCTACAGTTGCTGGATAAATTTTCAGAGCCTAATTGACTTTTAATGTTTATGGTTGTGCAACAAGTGCAAGTCCTTAATGACTTTGTAATACATTACAGGTAGTTTTGGGTAACTATTTTTTTCAGTTGCCTCAGTTTGATGCTGTTTGTTTAATCTTTCTGATGTAATTTGTGATAATCTGCTTCAGCAGTGTACACTCATTCTAATAGTAATGTTTCATATCTGCCTTTCTTACCAACTAATAAATTTAAAATTATAAGCATTCATTTGCAACATCTCCTGTAGTTAAATATGTTCATGACATTAATATTTTGATTCCATACAATGAAGTGAAGGGGATATATGAACCCATGCTTTGTACTACATTCAGTACTATTGTATAATAATTTAAATACTGTAGTTATATTTCCCCTATACTGTACACCCGTATTCCTCAATCGTCCCACATGCTCTGAGTTCTGCTTTCACAAGAGTACAGGATTGTATTTGAATGTTTTCTTATTGGCACATTTTTATGGAAGTTTGTCAGTCAAATTTCAGATACTGACAAGTTAAGAAATATTGTTGGAGCAGGTCTAATAGCTCGGCATGGCAACAAATCTTAACTCGTCTCACATTCTGGGTTCTCATTAGGTTCTGCTTTCATGCAACTGTGCAAGTTAAAACTGCTCATGCTAGTATATATAGTAAACATGTCTGACACTTAAAAGTTACAATTAAACTACTGTATAGACAAGGGCTATGTGGTAGGGTGGAAAACAAAAAGTTGGAGGAAGGTCACCCTGGTGTGTAGGGGTACGAGGGGACAGACTTAGTTATGGTAAGCAATATAGGTATCAATACCTGGCAAATCTTGTTATTAGGTAAATTATATCAATAGTTTCAGTATTAATATTTACAGATTTCAGCATAATTTAATATATTGGTCTGAAGCAAGAGGCTGAAATAAACCATATACAGTAATCACAAAAAAATAGTATTTACCCAAGAGCCACCATTTAGTGGCCTCAACGGATACAGGAAGACAGTACCATGTGAAAGGTCACATCTATTAGTGTTCCTGAATATTTTTTCCAGTGTATTTAAAACTGTAGTGTTGTCTTTGTTTTTATGGGTTTAGTGAGTAGGCAATTCTGTAGATTAAATTCTCCACTGGGTAAAAACTCCTTTCATCTGTCATGCATTATGGTTTGCTGTGCTTGAACCTTTCAAGGAAGTGGTCTGACAAACTGGATTGTCTGCTAATTTGTTGTGCATTTTAATGACCTTAGATCAGCTATGTCATGTCTTGTTTGCAAAGTAGTTAGTCCTGAGGTTCTAAGTCTTTCTTTGTGGGAGGAAACTGTTCCTTGATTTTTGTTACTCTACACTGACTTTCTAATACAATGGTCTTTTTTGAAAGAGCAGTCCCCACCCCATCTCTGGTCTACAGCTAAATGACCATTTTCTTGTCATATCATTCAAAGGTCTTTGATTACTAACTAGAGTTTGATTATATTTATTGGAGCCAATAGAGCCTCCTCCAACTGCTTTCTCGCTGTCAATCTTCATTTGTTTTCTTGTATTTGACTCGCAGTGCCCACATGGCTCCGGAGTCCTTTAATCCAGTCCATCCAGTGGTAGTCAAAATTCAACATTGACCTTATCTCTTATCGTTTCTTATCTCCAGCAGATTTAAGACAGTTGAGTTTTGCTAGGTTCCCAGCCATATTGGTGTTTCCTTCAATGAGCATGCGGATGCTGCCGCTAAGGAGGCTATCTGCACTTGTCCCATTTCCTGCAAAGGTGTTCCTCATTTCGACTTCTGCCCGGTTATTCATTCCTCAAGCTGTGCCCGTTGGCAGGGTCGTTGGTCTTCTGTTACCGATAACAAACTGCATGCACTTGAGGGTAGTGTCTCCCCATGACCCTCCTCCTACCACTACAAACGGCGGTGGGAAGTGGCTCTAGCGAAGTTACATATTGGCCATACATGTTGAACTCGCAGGCACTTTAAGGAGCAGGGTGGCGGTCCATTTTGTCCAAACTGCATTGTCTCTCACAGTTGTGCATATCCTTGTTGAATGTCACAACTTCCAGGAAGTGCGTGTGTTTTGCTTCCCAACCGTCCCTCGCTGTCACGTGTCCCTCGATAGAATCCTTGGCGAATCAGATATTTGATATCGTTTGCCTTGTGCACTTTTGTTTTAGTATTGGCATCCTTAGTGATACTTGGCACCTTTTGAATATCCCACACATCTGATGGTGCTTCATAGTCTTCCCTGGCTTGGCACCGTTTTATAATTACTTTAGCAGTTTCTACATTAAAAGTTTGTGTACACGTGTATCCCACGTGAACAATCTCCCATCAAACTGCCTTATGTTATATGCCTGAAGTACATTTAGATTTAACATTTATATATGCACACCAAGATCAGGCTGACAAAAAAAAGGGGGGGGGGGAGGAGAGACGAGTAATGATACTGTAAATAGTAGTTGGCAGGCCACAGTTTTGTAACGCGTGGTGTTTCCCTTTTTCTTAGCTTATTCATCCAGTTATTAGCCAGACCAGTGTATCAGAATGACACGCTTGCACATCTACAACATTTGACCATCAGTATATAGTACACTCATGTCAACCCTTGCTCTCATTCTTGACATGTCAAACATTTTACTGTTCTTTTGGTGCAATAAATGACATGCATAATACATGGAACTGACTATTTGTACAACTAAAATTTTGGATTTCTTGTTTTTAATAAACCTAATAAGTTTAAGAGCTAGACTTAGTGAATCTTACTATTCATTCTACCAAAGAAAACATTAATACTACACTTATATATTAAATTTATATCTGTTCATAATCTACTGTAGATTGAACCGAGAAATTAAATGTCTAGACGAGAATTTTATTAACGCTTTGTGCCATATTTGACTAATACCTTTATGCCCAAGATGGTTTTCTTTACTGTTCTTAATATAATATTTTTAAAATTACTTAAATAAACATTAAACTATAGTACTGTATGTATTTAAGGTGAGCATAAAGGTGTTTCACCAAGACATTAAGTGATGCACATTGTGAAGCAGGGAATGTTACAGGCACAGCTAATTAACTTTCCACAAATTACTTACTGTAATAAAAACTGTTAATAGTGAATCATGTACTGTATATATATAAAACCTGCAGTAAGGATACTTTTTCCTCTTTAATAAAGGCAAATATATGTATTTATTAGTGAATTATCTTTATGTACCTGGGAGAGATTTATAAAATACATTGAAGATTGCTGTATATTATTATTGCTAAACCTGATATGATCATTAATATACTGTAATACATTACTGTAATAAAATTACATTACTGTAATAAAATTACTGTAATACATTAAAGTGGTTCTACAACTTTAAAGTGTTAGCGCTCATGAATTTTACATTTTGGCAAGAGCATGTTAATATATTGTAATTATTTATTGGATTATCTTTCTGGACAGTATACCCAAAATTCATTTCACATCCATTATGCCATTGAATGTACTATTTACAAGAAACCAATGTGCTTCAGGAATTTCAAACAAGGGAAGACTGAACAAATTGTGGGAAAATTTATAAGCAAAGTGGCACGTAATATGCATAATCATCCCTAAACTTATAGTCCATTCTCCTTACCTTGAGGTTACCTTGAGGTGCTTCCGGGGCTTAGCGTCCCCGCGGCCCGGTCGTCGACCAGGCCTCCTGGTTGCCGGACTGATCAACCAGGCTGTTGGACGCGGCTGCTCGCAGCCTGACGTATGAGTCACAGCCTGGTTGATCAGGTATCCTTTGGAGGTGCTTATCCAGTTCTCTCTTGAACACTGTGAGGGGTCGGCCAGTTATGCCCCTTATGTGTAGTGGAAGCGTGTTGAACAGTCTCGGACCTCTGATGTTGATAGAGTTCTCTCTCAGATTACCAGTTGCACCTCTGTTTTTCAACGGGGGTATTCTGCACATCCTGCCATGTCTTCTGGTCTCATGTGATGTTATTTCTGTGTGCAGGTTTGGGACCAGCCCCTCTAATTACTACCTCTGCTACCTCTGCTAAAGGTACCATCAAGCAAGATTGCATGCACAAGACTACTGAATCTATATTAAAATACTCTGAGGACACACTGAGAACTCGCCTTCACAATCTTAGGAGATAATAAACAAGCTGATATGACAACTACATGCAAGATCTTAGAGTAATAGAAGTGTATAAAAAAAAAGGCACTAAAACAGGAAGATTCTGGTGACCCCAAGAAAGAGGAATGTTAGAGTGGGGTGAAGAGAAGAGAAATGGACAGACCATTTATCTTCTATTTGCCCACAGATACAGGCAGTAGAGGAATTAATGTTCGACTGAAAATCCATGAGGAGGGCAAGGGGCAAAGCAATTATTCTGGATCAAGAGAGCAATAGAGTTAGGGGCCCCCAGTATAAACTGGAGGGGAAGAAAGGAATAACCACAGAAGGGACCAGGACGAACATCAATCATCGGGAAAGAACGGAGAAACCAAGATCAGAAGTTGGTTGTGGAAATTGGTGCAAGAGCTACATATATTCCATCGAATGGCAGTTAAGAACAAAGATAACAGTAAATGAAAAGCTAAGGTAAAGAAGAACACTACTAGGGAAGATTGGGAACAAATTACGTGAAATCAGGTCATAGGTAAATTGAAAGAAGACAAGAGTCCGAGAAGGGTCCGCCTACTGACAGGGTCTGGCGAAGGAGGAGATACAGGGAAGGGGTGGTTGAAGGAATAGGAGTGAACAGAAACAGCAAGTGTGCACTGGGTCAAGGATAGCACCTGAGGGATAATCAAGGACTACAGGAATTTCCATTGCGAGGTCAGTAGAACCTCTTAGGACCCCACTAGGATGGAAGAAGAATGCCGGGATAGAGCATGGGGTGGAAAGTGGTGAAGTGACTGAAGTCTTCTTACTCACTGGGAAGGAATTAGGAGGAACCAGGTTTATATTTTTGACACAGGCATGCCAGTAGCAGTGTACTTTGTGACAGCCTCCACCATCTCGGGTGGAGAGGGAGAACGAGAGCAGAAAGCACTTACTGCTGGGATGATGGATGTCAGCCTGGACAGACAGTTGTCAGGGGAGTGCCAAAAAAAACGTGAGGGTTGAGAATAAAGATGGAAACATGAATGTAGAGAGATAATTAGCATGTCTGGTATAAATGGCCAAGAAGCATAAATAGCTAGATCTCCCACCCCATAGTTACTGGCAAGTAATTATTGAAATGTGCCAAACTTGAATGACTATGTAGTACCATTTGTGTTGCCAGATATTCAAAAGGCACTAGAGATGCCAAAACGAGAGCAGAAGGGCTTAAGTCGAGCAATATCAAGGTACAGTATCAGAGTCACTAAGGATTGTATCAAGGGACAAATGGCCCCAGGGATATTAGGAAAGAAAGACATACAATCATACTGAAAAGCAGGGCATTCTATAAGGAGGTGCATGGCTAAGTGGGACAATGCAGTTAGAAGAAAAGGGAACAGGATGTCATTCCATTGACTGACCATGAGTTAATTGGGTGTGACCAACATTCAACATAGCCTGATCAACCAGGCTGTGACTCATACGTCAGGCTGCGAGCAGCTGCGTCTAACAGCCTGGTTGATCAGTCCAGCAACCAGGAGGCCTGGTCGACGACCGGGCCGCGGGGACGCTAAGCCCCAGAAGCACCTCAAGGTAGCCCCTTGAGGGACTTGAAGTAGGAGGGGGGGGGGGTTAGAAATAGCCTAAGCTACTCTATCCCTTTGAGATGTATTTTTTATTGTATCAATAAACATGCTTGAACTTGAAGTAGACTTTAATGTTTTTTCGGCAGCTTTATTTCCTTAGTTTCTGAGCTGTTTTCTTTATCGTGTATGTTGTAATAAACTGTTCCCATATTTACAGTTGTTGGCACCTTTCTGGGACCTTGGTATAAGCCTAACATGTATATATACACTGCCTGCCTGTCCCCCTACACAATGATTTATTATTACCTATTATTCTATAATTTAATTTAAATATTAAATAAAATAATTTATTTAATTATTATAGTAAGTACTTAATAATTTAATAATAAGTAGTAAGTACATAAAAAATGATTAAAAAGTATAGTTTAGTCATAGCAATTTCTAGATTGGAATTCACTACCAAATTTCAATATATCCAAGTATTTTTAGTGTGAAATGCTGTTATTATATGCATAAATTGTTGTTTTAATAATATTACACTTAACCACTTGGACTGGACAGTAGAGGGACGGTCTCGTTTCCTACAGGTCCGCGTTCAATCCCCGACCGCCCAAGAGGTTGGGCACCATTCCTTTCCACCGTTCCATCCCAAATCCGTATATCCTGACCCCTTCCGAGAGCTATATAGTCGTAATGGCTTGGCGCTTTCACTTGATAGTTCCCGCACCTCCCTGAATAATATTACGAGAGCAGTATTTACGGGCTATTCATGCCCGTGCCACCTCTTGGGTGGCTTAATCTTCATCAATCGAGAGCAGTACGTCCTAACCAGACATTATATGATGATATCCTGAACAGTTGATAAATAAAAGTAATTAATTGTTATCTAATACTTATCATAAATGGTATAAAACCTTATCATAAGCCAAGGGATTTGTAGATCAGTGTTTAAAGGGAATTCGGAAGTAATAATAACACAGCTGATGCCATCTGTCGGCAGAAGAGAACACTATCAACTGGCTGGTCAATAGTGGCCATAAGATACAGCTTACGCCATCTGTTGACATCAAATTACACTTATAACAAATTACCCCACAAAATACAACTAACGCCATCTCTGTTTTTTCCAACGCACTATAAATAGCCAAACAGCAACCCATAAGGTGGGTTGTTGTGCTCGGGTAGGAGGTTCCAAGCTCCGCCCACAGATGGTATGGGGTGCATAATAAATGGCATATCATTGGTAGATATTCTTTGTTGACATTCACACAACAGCCAATCACAGGAAGGGATCAGCTAAAGGCTCCATCCACTTAATAAATCATCTTTATTCAGCACACCATCCTTGCTTATGACATTCTGCTTCAACTTTAATCTACCTAAAAAGTGAAATGTTAAGTATTTAAAAGTATTAATATAGTGATAATTAAATACTGCAGGATGTAACGAGTGTTACAGAAACATGGGCTGGCTACCTAACTTGTGACGTCATCAGTGGGAGTTGCCTCACACAAATAATATCGGCGATACAATGCCTCCGCCCTCTTATTGGTCTACATTATTCAGTTAGATGGAAATTTCTGTCTTGTATAAAACAGAAATTGTTGTTCTTTTGTACAACAACAAGGTTATTGAGCAAAAGGACGTATTTCTTATTTTGCATTTTATTCATATAAGCGTTGGCATTCCCCGCAACAGCCAATCACAGGAAGGTATTTGTTGGAAACTCGGCCTTCAACAAAGATGATTCCTAATGAACTCAAACAATAAATTCGTTTAATAAACGAGTATTTAGGGTCAAGCTACAGATGAACATTATAGGATAACGGTGTCTTAGCTTGCAGCTTCGTTAGACAGAATCCTTGGTCTTAATTTCAAAAATAAAGAACTAGAAAGCGTATTTTATTGCTAACTTTTCGAGAAATAAATCCCAGTCTCATATTTGCGAACATTTATGCACTGATTTTTTGGCTTAAGTTCTTATCATAATCCCTTGTGCAATCTCAACACCATCTGGCTCGTATCTTGTAACTATCTTCGTTACTTAGCCTCAAAACCTTACATTTGTCTTACATATCCTCAACAGTAGATAAAAAAAAAGTAATTGCAGAATTCTAGTTACCTAATACCAGCAAGGTGTAAAACCTTATTATAAGCTACCAGACGTATAGATCAGTGTTTAAAGTAATAATAATACATTATTATTAATGTAATAATATTATTAAAATAATAATAATACAGCTGATGCCATCTGTCGGCAGACAAGGACACTATCAACTGGCTGGTCAACAGTGGCCATAAGATACAGCTTACGCCATCTGTTGACATCAAATTACACTTATAACAAATTACCCCACAAAATACAACTAGCGCCATCTCGTTTTTTCCAACGCACTATAAATAGCCAAACAGCAACCCATAAGGCGGGTTGTTGTGCTCGGGTAGGAGGTTCCAAGCTCCGCCCACAGATGGTATGGGGTGCATAATAAATGGCATATCATTGGTAGATATTCTTTGTTGACATTCACACAACAGCCAATCACAGGAAGGGATCAGCTAAAGGCTCCATCCACTTAATAAATCATCTTTATTCAGCACACCATCCTTGCTTATGACATTCTGCTTCAACTTTAATCTACCTAAAAAGTGAAATGTTAAGTATTTAAAAGTATTAATATAGTGATAATTAAATACTGCAGGATGTAACGGGTGTTACAGAAACATAGGCTGGCTACCTAGCTTGTGACGTCATCAGTGGGGGTTGCCTCACACAAATAATGATACTCTGCTCTGCCCTCTTATTCGAGTAAATTATTCAGTTAGATGGAGATTTCTGTCAGGTGCAAAACAGAAACTGTTGTTCTTTTTCACAACAACCTTGTTGTTGTGCACAAGGACCTATTTCTTGGTTTAAATTTTATTCATAAAAGAGTGTTGGTATTCCCCGCAACAGCCAATCACAGGAAGGTATTTCTGGAAGCTCGGCCTCCTTATGGACCCAGCACATCGCTCTAGCTCATGGCTCTCTGTTTCATCGCTTGTATATACAAACTATGACTTTTTTCGATTACTGTTATAATTAATAATATGAGATATAAAAGTTTTTACACAAAATGGCTAAATTCTGCCATTAAATGGATTTTGTCTGGTATACATACAAACATACACCAATTTATTACCATTGATCCATTATTAATTTCAAATGTAATGTATACTGTCTAGTTTTTTTCCTCTCACCATTACTTGGTGCAATATTTGAAAGTTGTCTATTTATCGGTCTATCTATTATCTTGTATTTATATTTACAAGTTTCTGTGCTTGGAAGAAAACTCTGCATTGAATTGGGACTAATTTATTAAATAATATTATTTAGTATTAATTAATATTTACAATTATTATTAATTACAATTATTTATAGCTTAGTTACTTTCATGCAACTCGCAATCGTACGTTCTTAACTTTAATATCCCAAATTAACACATCTTGCTTTTAAATTAGTCCAAAAAGTAGCAAGTAGCGAAATTAAAAATTTGGGAGCGCTTGGCTCTCAAAAGTAGCCCAATTCGCTATTTGTAGCCCAATCTGGCAACGCTGCTCTGGGTAAGTCTACGGACCAAAACAAGTCGGATTGCTGGCACATTCGTATACGTTCGTTCACTTATTTATACCAAGGAATGAAATAGTTTTTGTGATTTAAACTCTTTATTTTAATAATTTGACTCATATTTAATACTTTGTTATGCAGATGCCTAGAATTTCCTCTTAATTACCTTAGCATTCGGATACTAAATATTATTGGCTTGGCGGGGCTTGGAGGACACTCGAACGTGGCCGTCTAGTGTTTGTAAACATGTCTCTTTTGAAGGTGGCAAAATGCTTCTTGTATTTTTTCATGCTACGTTTCACCAGTGCTCGTAATCTTGAGTTTACAAAATTTTTTGATGACGAGTCATGCCTTAATGATGAGTATTTTGATGATATGAGTCTTCAGTGTAGAGCTTGTCCCGCTAATCAGACGGCAGGGAATGACCCCAATGGCTGTACTTGTCTGCCTGGCTTCAGGTCTGTGGGTGATGGACCTGAGGTGAAGTGTGAGGCTTGTCCTCCACTGCATGTTACTTCTACAGATAAGAGAAGCTGTGTAGCGTGCCATGAATCATCTTATTTTAATGATACCCTTAAGGAATGCCAGCCTTGCTCCTCCTCTGATATTATGACCGATAAAGCTATAAATGGAACGAATTTAGATAGTTTGTCATGTATAGAATGTTCTAATGATACTGTTCCAGGAAATGATCGTTGTGTTCCATGTCATACATCTTTTTACATGGCTAGTGGTGGCTCTTGCACATGCCCAAATACTCATGTTGACCTTGGTGGCATCTGCACTCCATTGTCAGAGCTTGTTAAAATCCCAGATAAAAAGAGTTGTTACACTGTAAAGTATGAAAATGGGCAAGAAGTGATGTCTTCTTTCTTTGAGGCCAACTATAGAATGGCTGCTCACTCCTGTACATTCAGTCACAATAAATCAGCCTGTCAACTTTTGAGTAATATGTGTGTCCTTTTGCATTATGACTTCAGTGATGAATTCAATGCTTGTGAGTATTACAGAGAAGGATTTGGTGATAATTTTGTTAATTTGCCTGATTATGTTCCTTGGCTGTATTATACTGAAGGAGAAGCAAGTGTCTATCTTTCTAAGACTAGATTGAAAACACACTACAGCTTTAATAAAGGTAATCCAGATTCAAAGTTAAATTTTACTGTTGCAAAATATTCTGCTGAAGGTCAATTTCTTAAATATGGACGACTAGAAGATGTGTTAACTCTTTGTCCCCCCATTGATTTTCAACTTGATGCTGCTGTTCAGTTTGGAACAACATTTTCTCAGAGTTGCTTAATAAATGTGAAAGATTTATGGAATAAATATGATACAGAGTTCTATGATGTATTTCTACAATATTATGATGATGATGAGCATATGATTTATGCCATTCCAGTTCTTAATAGAAACTATAAAGAAGGTGGCTCACATGTAAATCAGCAGGATCAAAAAAGGTGGCAGCTTACAAGGAGATTTTTCTTATTTGATAACATTAGTGGAAAAGAGAGCCTCTCTCCAAATACTATGGATAAAAAGAGGAGAGCCAGAGTTGTACGATATCCTCAGAGCATTGAAATAATTGTTCAGCTGCGTGAGGGTGAAGGGGATGGTTTAATCTATCCACCATTGATAAAAATAACTTATGGTGAAGTTGGGGATGAGTATTATGAGTCCAATCAGAGTGTGGTGACACATCTAAAAGTTTTGTATACCATGAATTTTTCCAAAGTCCGTGAAGATTTATCGATTGCTGTGGGTGTTATGAGCACTCTTGCTATCATTTGGTCACTTATTGGAGCTTGGAGCTGGTCACGGCGATGTGGAAAAGTTGGTTTGGATTTGCCTACCATATTCCACTTTTTTATTGTTGTATGTGGAAATCTTTCCAATGTATTCTTTCTGGTAATGTATTTTTCATGCTTTTACTGGACTATTTTCTTCAAGAGGCAGGATGTTGTTCATTTATTTCTTTTAACAAACAATCAAGAAAAACTTATTAAACAGTATCTTACAGCTGCATGTTTCCTAAAGTTAGTCCAAGTCATTCACATTGTTTATGTTCAAGTTACCCTTGATATGTTTATTATTGATTGGGAACAACCAAGGGCACGAAATTCTATTCCTCATCCACAGTTGTCAAACAATCTAGAAGAGGAGGAAAAATCAAAAGGGGAACAGCCAATTAGTATTTGGAGAACCTATTTCATTGCAAATGAATGGCATGAACTCCAGACTTACAGGAAAATTGATTTGGGATGCCAGTTGTTCTTAACACTTTTATTTTTAAAAGTATTTGGATTTGAAAATCTTGCAGCTGCTGATCCTGACAGTAGTTTTTCTCCTAATAATGGAAATTATAATTCCCCTCAGAGTTATGTGTGTAGATTTACTGTTAGTATGACAGTTTATGCCCTTATTGCTGCTGTACAGTGGATCTTCAGGGTTGCCTTTATTGAGCGCTATGTTCAAAACAAGCTCCAGCAAATTATTGATCTCTGTTCAATTGCTAACATAAGTATATTTATTCTTGAACACAAAATGTATGGATATTACATTCATGGACGGTCTGCTCATGGTTACGCTGATGTTGACATGCAGTCAATTTATGAACAAATGAAACGAGAAGAAGAAGATTTATGTGGCCATCGAGGTCTTGAACCATCCAGTGAGTGTCAGATGTTTGAAGTAGCTGTTACTTACAAGTTTAGAGAGCAGTTTGACACCATTTTGCAACCTGTACATGGGTTTGCAGGCATAAGGCGGCCAGCAGGTCGAAGCAAAATGGCTTCAGTAGAGATGCAGCAAAGTTTCCAAGCACATGAAACTATGAAAAGATTTTTTGGCATGTTTCTTCAGCATGCTCTCAAAGATTTAGATTATATTGTCAAAGAGAAACTATTTCTGGAAAGTATTTTAGATCTTGAATTTCAAGAGGCTGATGACAGATGTCTGTTTTTTAGGGACAATAATCATGCATTTGATAGAGTTCTGTTTTATGGGCATGAAATATCTTTCATATTGTTTGAAATGCTACTTTTTACATTTGTTGATTTAGTTGCATATGATTTTGTGCTTGCAGCAGTAGTAACTTTTATATTTTCATATATAGTGAAAAAGGTCCGTAACACAGGTGGCCAGAAAAATGTGGTACACAAGACTCTAGTTGATCAAAGGTTTTTAATTTAATATTAAAGTTAAAAAACTATCTAATTCTTGAGCAACATACAGTTTATGCAAAATCATGAGTTTGTCATGAATTTGCTGTACTGTACTGTGGTTACGTATGTTCCTGAGCAACACTGACAAGGTACAGGAGCTTCAAACATATTGTATTGAAGGAAACACTAGCAAAACACAAGTCTTAACTGCATTCAGTGTTTTTGCTCAGTGAAGACCTTCGTTTATATTTCATGTGAAGGTGTGTGAGAACATATTGAAGAAAGTTTGATACTTTTGTTATTCTGATATACCTTCACCAGAAATTATGTTGGATTAAAGAGTTACAGTGTATTGCTATGCAGTGCTGTATCAATATCTTCTTAAAGATATAATGTTCCTGCAAAAGTTAGGCTGAGTGTGTTGCCATATTATTTTTGTGTGTTTATCATGTCATGTGGATCTGAATAAATTATAAGCACAAAAATAAATATAAAAAAAGGATGTCACATTAGCATATGGGCTACCTGGCCATTTACTCTTTAGCGTGCAGTCTACCTCAGCAACCTAACCTAAACCACAACATCGGCTGAGGTCTCGGTAGATAGGTCAGGTCATTGCACAGCATAGACTATGAATATTGTAGTAGACCACATGCTAAAGTAACACCAAAAAAATTCTAAAATGCAGTACTCCATCCAGTGTGTACTGTATAACTAAAATGATTTCATCACTCGACATATTTTTATTATGACAGAATGTTTTGTGTATTCTTCATAAATACATATGTGCCTTTTTTAACCTTACATATACTGTATATACAATTTTAGTAAATAATTGTAGAAAAATTGTTGCACATTCTGTACTCCAATTGGCGATTGTTCTAATGTTACCAAAATCTATATAGAGCAGCAATATAGCTGTTTTTTCACCTATTCTACAAACATTTTCACCTGAGCAGAATTATATTAGTACAACATTAATGTACTGAATGTACTATTGTAGGATGTGCATTATTCCTGTTAAGTTTAAATTTACATCTCCCTTCACATGTACAGTATGGTTAATGTCAATTTATCATAAAGTTGTCACGGGAAAATAAATACATTGATCATATAGTGTAGAAATTATATACACTGTAGTGTACTTTCTTATATTATAAGTAAAATATTTAAATAGGTAAATAGTTCTGTGTAACTACATTATAGCATATACTGTATTAGTAAAACTGTATAATGAACATATTTGTAAATTAAAAAAAAAAATTTGTTTTTTGAGTCGGGGTTACCTGTAGTTTGTTATTACTTTTGCAATATTATGCATACAGAAAATATGCTGAAACAAAATGGAGTGTGTCAATTACAAAATCCCTGAAGCCATACTGCCAGAATATGCCAATATTACTTTGGCAAGTTCTTCATTCTACAAACTTGTCAACATTTTGGACCAGTTGGAGGGAGAAGGTAAAGCATCTTGAAGGCCTTTAATATTGCAATACTGTAATGCACATTCAATAATTTTATTGCATTTCATGACTTGTTGGAATTTTTGTAATATTGCTATACTATATTGGGACCTGTTTAATTGGTTATGAATTGTATAGTAAAAAAACTAAATTATTATATTGCACAGAATCGATGAAGAAACATACTATAATTGCCACATCTTTGGGTCACCTGATTGAACTTCAAGAAGAAAAGGTTTTGCGCTCCGTGAAACTAACTACAAAAGATGTTGCAAAGGTAAAATATGTTATTGGTTTAGTAGGCATAATATGCTTGCTTATCTCACATGACCGCACTTTTTCTCTGGGAAATTTAGTTTAATGAAATTATACAATAATTCACTTACCTCGGTCATGTATTATAGTGGTGAAGGTATTGAAGCATTTATAAAGGTTGTGAACAAAAAATGAGTTGTAATAGAATGGCTGAAAACAAATAACTGAACCTACTCACATGAAACTTACCGTGGAAACATTTTGATCCTTCCTAGACTTGATTAGACTTCCTAGACTTCCTAGACTTCCTAGTCCAGCACGAATCCAGATTTCCATTTTTTCTTTTTTTATTCATGAATGGCATAAGTAAATTTTTGTCAATAAAGATGTTAATAATAAATAAGTATAGCATAACAAGTGGTTAGAGTAGTTCCCTCTAGGTCATCCTTAGTGCTCATTTAGGAGAAAAGTTATAATTATACATAGTTCAAGAAATTGTCATTAATAGTCAGTTTCCTCTATCAGATTGTGGTTCATCATGAGTTTCGTCCACTACAACTCTATATTGTCCTATTGTACAGCACGCACCGGGCAGTCATCTTGTCATACAATGATTTCAAGGTGAGCAAAGAATTTGAACTAGGCCCAACAGTGGAATTATTTGCATGTAATATATGTGAGAATTTGGGATTATGGTTATATATTATTAAAAAGACTGAAAAAGTTACAGTATGTAATTATGCAACTGATCTTCCTGTTTAGATAGTAGGTATTGTGTTGAGTGTTAATAGTCACGAATTCATACGTACTTAGTTTTTAGATAGTAGTATACTGACTAGTAAAGAATTCTTTTAAAATACAGTAAAACCTCGAGTGACGACCACCTAAAATGGCGACCAATTTGGGTAACGAATGCCCCAATTGCCGACAATTCGTCTCGTTAGGCAACCGCTCGTTTGAATAATGTCAGCACCACATGGTGGGGTTGCGGGCTGCTTCTTGCACATTCTCGGACGCCTCCGACGATGCAAATAAATTATTTTTCTTTGCTTGAAGATGCTATTGATGCTGGGATGTTGCAAAGCATTGACTTTTTTGTAGAAAAATTAAATGAATTTTTTTAAAGAAAGAACAAATGTCAAAAAGGTTCGTTCAGTGTTTGTCAGGTAGGCTGCTCCATGTTTCTTAAAAAAAAAAAAATAAGAATTTTGAAAAACCAAAAATGTTAAAAGGTTCGTTTGGTGTTCGGCAGGTACGCTGCTCCATGATTTTTAAATAAAAAACAAAAAACGAAAAATAAAAAAAGTTGAAATAATTTGAAAAATGGTGAAATGCCATAAAGGTTCGTTCAGTGTTTGTCGGGCAGACAGTTCCCTTCTCTAACTATCAGTTTGGTTGTTTCAGTTTTCTTCTTTTCTCATAGAGTTGTTGGTTTTGCTTTGACTTCTGAGTGGTTTACCTTTGCTCCGGGTTACTCTTTGATCCTCATGTGCTTCCCTCACCTGTTTTTGAGAGGGGGCTAGATATTGGTACTTGCTGCCAGCAAGCCAAGAAAGACTCGAGAGCCTACAATTTTGGGACAGCCCTGGGTCTCCTTGGGTCTTTAATGCCTTAAATTCTTGGAAGCTACTAAGGAGCCATGCAAGGTGGCATTTCACAACATTCAGCGCTCTGTTTTTCTTAATAAATTACTTTTAGGGATTACTGTATTGTTTTCTTAATTCATGAGCTTTCATGCACCCATACTTAATATTAATGAGTAGAAGTCTCATCTATATACTGTACACAGTTTATATCCAATAATGGATGTGTTGTTGAATATTATTGAATTTTACAGATACTTCATGAATGGGACAACATCTCTGATATTAGTTCTGAAGATGCCCAGGCCACTGGTTTTGCTCACTTAAAGCTGTCTAGACTTACAGGTAAGACTTTGTTTTGAACAAATCCACAAGGGCCTTGACGAGGGTTCGAACCTACGTCTGAGAGGATCCCAGATGCGCCTTAATTGAATGAACTACGACATGGTATAAGAATTACAACCGGGAAATCAACCTGACCTACCACGGATCCTGCAGTCTCTCCGAGACACAAACCAGGTTTTAACACAATTCCCCCATGCACCCCGAGCTCTGTCAATAAGCTGTGCTACCTCTTCGCTCTGACTTCATTAACCTGTGTAAAAACCTGGTTTGTGTCTTGGAGAGACTGCAGGATCCATGATAGATCAAGTTGATTTCCCGGTTGCAATTCTTATACCATGTTGTAGCTCAGTCGATTAAAGTGTGTCTGGGATCCTCTCAGACATAGGTTCGAACCCTCGTCACGGCCCTTGTGGATCTGTTCATTTGATGCATCACACTATTGTGATTTGTGTGTGTAAAGACCTTGTCTTTTTTGTCTTTACAATTCAGAAATGGTAGAGTATAGCATTATAATTCAATTATCTATTAAATAATATTTTGAGCTGTTATTTTTGGTTGTTCCAACTGTGTAAGAATCCACTCTTCCACAGACAAGCTTCATGAACAGGAACATTTTGCCTCCACCATTTAAAGCCTCAAAAATTTAGGCTTTGGCACCTAAGGAATCTTTTCAAACTTTCCTTGAGGGTCATATGATGCTAGAGAGCAGTCCATAGAATTACCAAAATCTACCCAAATCCTGCTAGCATTATGTGAGTAATGAAGAAATATGGTATATTTATTCACTATACTGTAATGTTGGGGCTGAATGCAGAACATGATCAAACCTATTTTTACTCTGAAAAATCTAATTTCATAACGAAATTAGAAGTACTGTATATACGTAGCAGGTGACGCCATAGGAAGTTGAGGGTCCAAGCAACAATGCTGTGGAGCGACTTGTCCAAGATATATTGTCGCATGGAGTGTTTGCTGGCATATTAGCCTCCTGTACACAGTGATCCAGTCGTCGTACTTCTTTGCTCAAATTGTCGCAAATTTAGGTAAGGTTAGTTTGGGTTAAGTAAGGCTAGTTTGGGCTAGGCAAGGTTATTTTGGGTTAGGTAAGGTTAGTTTGGGTTAGGTAATGTTAGAGAAAACTTTACAAACCCATTGACAATATATCTTGGATAAGTCGCTCCACAACATTGTCTCTTGGATCCTCGACTTCCTATGGCATCACCTGCTACATATTTACTTGTAATTTTGTTATGAAATTAGATTATTTCAGAGTAAAAATAGGTTTGATCATGCTCTGCATTCAGCCCCAACATTATAGTGAGTAAATATACCATATTTCTTCATTACTTATGCAATGCTAGCAGGATTTGGGTAGATTTGGGTAATTCTATGGCCTAGGGAGACTGGAGATAAACTCAATCCAAGCTCAATTCTATAGAGACTTAATGTCCTACAGAATCCTCATTTTCGTATACTGAGTGACTTCCAAGTTAGACTTCAGAGGAGCTCTTTTTTTTCACCCCCCCCTGGCCAAACCAGCAGCCACTGACAGGTGACATGCTCTAGGTGTCTGTGTTCCCAGACACAGATCATGTGTTGACATTGTACCCTGTGCTTCCAAAAAATGTGAGGACACTAGTATTTCTTGTGCTAGTTAAAGATACAGTCAGAGTGATTGTGTTGCATTATTTTCTTCTTAGGTGTTGATTAAATTACACTACTGTACTAACATATCACTGTACTATCACATATCACATTCCTTGATACATGGCCAGCATCAAGCTTAACAACAGTTGTTTATGCCCTTGGATTTGGAAAGATTCCTCATGCCTGTTTTAAAGCTTGTGAATTACTGATCATAGGAAGTTAAAGTAGAAACAAATCCTTGTCTTTAGGAGAGGTTGAGACAGTGTCTAGCAGCAGACTGATGACACTGTCTGGCCCTGATGACACCCTGCAGGAGGAAGGCCAAAAGGGGAAAAGTGATGCGGTGGAAGCATTAGCACGGAGGTTAAAGGTATAATATTATTATTATTATTATTATTATTATTATTATTATTATTATTATTATTATTATTATTATTATTATTATATTTTGTTATTGTTTAGCTGAATTTGGAGTGTTTTATAAATATTTGAATCAGTATATGCTGCTCCAGATACCTTGTACAGTAACATGTTGTGCACCAGTGCATTTCTTCTATTTCATCATTTATTTGATAATCATACTTGTAATAATAATAATATCACTTAAATTTATCATTTTAATAATTTAATTGTTTTGTTTAATATACTGTTTATGCATGTGCATACCAAATCACAATGTTGCATAATTTACATAACCAAGTGGGTAATTTGTCACGCATTACTTTTGTAGGCATATTCCCTCTAACACTCTTCAGTTTACAGCACTGACATTCCTTGATACCCTGCCCCCCTATCCTACCATTGGCAGGTGGCAGCCTAGACAACTCAGGGCTCCAGTATGACACCCACCTCACTCTCAACCCTAAACACACCCCCTGACATGAGAAAGAAGGGTTGGTGATCGTGAACTACTGATATAAATGTTGCAGAACTGTAGCAGCGCTTGATATAATTACTGGTAATGATATTTATCAAAGTAATTGCTTTTGCAGGGTGGCATCAAGTATGTAGGCAAGCTGAATTCACAGAGAAGAATGAAAGAAAATTTCATTGCTCAAAAATTAGTAACCTTACAATCACAACTTCAGGGACTTCATGATTCAGATGAAAATGTAAGTTTTCCTATACTGTACTGTAAAGTGCAAGTAAATTTCATACTTAAATGATAATGGTATCTTATAAAATAATTATTCTGATAATCTTTATGGGGTAACCTATTTATGAACTACATTATTCTGTAGATTGAGCTATTTATTTGCTGCTGCTGAATACCTGTTTTTCTGACTGGATCTGTCTTTGTCCAGTCACTGCCATGTACATTATATGGTCTTGAAGGGGTAAACTTTAGGCTCTTTTGCATTAGTGCTAAATATTTGTCTTGCCCTAGTGTGGCTTAATCTGGTTAATATGCAGCAAATCATTATTCTTATAGATTGGGCAGAATAACTTACTGACTTTTCCTAATTTATATTTACTGTACTGTGTTTAGCACTCTTCATGCATATTCATCCATCATCATTGCCTCATTTTGCCTTTTCAAGGTATTAGGTTGCACTTGGTTTTAAATGAAACATGAGTCTTCAGCTGGGGCTCTTCCCCATTTATTGCAGGGAATGCAAAACTGATTGCATCACTTGAGTATAATTTCAAATTTCTAGCAACTTACAGTAATGTTCCCTCTTTTATGTTAAAGTGTACGTAATTTTTTTCTTGCAAAGAACTTGATGGCAGTATTAACTATAGAAGGTAATGGTGATGAAGAAAGCAGAGAAAAGCAAATCACAACACCCAAACTTCAGGAATCTTGCCTGAAGATCCTTAATGTGAGACACAAGATTGTTCATGGCAGATGGGTCATCGGTCTGAATGTTTTAAATGATGCTGAGAGGTAAGTTTAATTTAAACTTTTAATCCTCTTACATTATTAATCTACATGATATTTATTCAGAAAAAATTTGCACACTTAAGTGATCTGCAAATTTTTCTAGGAGAGCCCGGACCCTCAATAGCTCCTTCATACTACACCTTGGTAGTGACCAAGGTTTAGTGAGCACACCAGGCCTCTGATACCCATGAGCATGACCTGATGGCTCATGGCAGCTACTGAGGGACTGCCTAGAAAGAGGCATTTCTTTGCATTCACTCTTGATTTTTCCATTTATTGCAGAGTATTAGTATGCAGTCCTCAGCTGATAATACAAGTAACTACTGGAGCAAGTGTTTTATCTCACACCTCTCACATCTTGAAGATAGTGCAACGCAGAAATTCTAAAGCTGCTGAGGAAAGGGATGGACCAGTGTTAAATACTAAAGTTTCAATTGAGAAACTGGAACCACCAGTCCTCAGACCCAAAAAGAGGGCTTGCGTACTAGGTAACTCAGTCAGTGCAGTATTTGGAAGAATTTATTGCATTTATGGGAGTATTTTTCTAGACGCTTAAAGTAACCCACATCTTACTTAAAAAAAAATAAAAAATTCAAGTTACTTGTGTGATAATGTTGTCGTTGGCATATGTAAAGCATAATGTACATGGAAAATTTTATTGTTAATATGTACATGGCAATAAAAAATATACATTTTTCTGTGAAATATAAAATATATATAATTCTTGATCATGTTATTACAGTAGATCATTTATGTGGAAAGTGAAACAAGCTAAAGCAAATGATGATAAATAAAAGATCATACAAATTTTTGTAAATGTTGTAGACTGCTTTAAATATTTATGGTGTAAAATAATATTAGAAAGTATGTGCTCACCTGGTTGTACTTGTGGTATATGAGCTACAACTCTTCAGTCCCACCTCTCAACCCTTAATTGGTGTGTAGGTTCCAGAGCCTTTTGGGCTCGTGTTATATCTACATTGAAACTTATGAATGGAGCTTGCCTCCACCATTTTGCTTCTTAACATTTTCCATGTGTTCATTATCCTGACCCCTGAAAAACTTCTTTAATATCTCTGGGGCTCATTTTGGGTACTTAGTTTCCATTTGTGTGTTCCTGTGTTCATGTTCACCCCTGCTAAATAATCTGTATTTGTCTGCCCTGTCTACTTGGGCAGACACCTGGGTAGTAGGAATAACTAGGTACTAACACAACACCTGGGTACTAGGAACACATGTTCCTAGTACCCAGGTGTTGTGATTGCTAGTTAGGTTAATTTGAGTTTCCTTTGATGGTCACATCCTTGACACCACTGGAACCTATTTAGTGGATTTCAGAAAGGATACTTCTGAATGCATGTTATCCTGACCAGGGAGCTATAATCATTCATGATTCCTAGCTAACACTTTTATGTGATCCCTGTATAGGTGCCAAATAATCTAGTTTACATACATATGACCCTGTTGCATCATTGCTATATATATGTTTCTGCCTGTGCCATAATCCTGACAAGGCTCAGAGGATCACCTTAGAGTACCTTTGGGATCAGTGGCATAAGTTTCTTTTGAAGGGTTTTTTACAATTTCAAAGATTAATTTTTTGACAGCTGTGTGTGACATCCCAATATTTAGTGACGGGTCAACTGTAAGCTGTTCAGGAATTTTATCATACAAGTGTAGATCACTCAAGACAGAAGCAACTCAGGTGTTGGTACCGGAAAGAGAAGGTCTACTGCAACAATGCCAGATGTCTTTTGAACCAATAGAAATTTTAGCCCAGGAACTAAATAACTATTCCATTACAATAGAGGAGAATCCTGTTAAAGGAGGTACTAATTATAAATTTTATATACAAAAATCACAGGATTTTTGTATCTTTTATTCATATTATAATATAAACATTTATTGTTAATATTCTCTAAAAAGTAGCTTGCAAATTGCAGAATACTATAATTATTTTATAATTTAAATTTTTTATGATCCAAAACATGGTTTATTAAAACAGTTTGTAACTTGTTAGAGTGAAGATAGCTTTAAAATGATTGCATTGTAGATTGATTAAGAAAGTAGATTGCAGTGAATCTGAGAGTTGTTCAAAAGGAAGATGAAGGCAGCACTGGACATAAAATGAGCACTGATAAAATATAGCCTACATGCAACATTTGACAATGAATGAGACTGAATGGTAAGCATTCATATAATCCACCAAAAGGCTGATGACTCATTCTGAAATGAGGGTGTTCATAGATAATATAAACAGTCACCTGTCCCAAAAGAACATGCAGCATGCTACCTCCGAAGAGCGTGCAACGCTCCAACACCATCTCCAGAAGCAAGGGCTAACAGGAACTCTGCCTTAAAACATAGATTCTAATGGAAAAGGAGCCACCCAAAAATAAAGAGGAGAGGACAGAAACTCCAACACCGTATGAAGGTACCACACTGGTTACATATGAACATGAGCCAGCAAAAAACAAACAATTAGCCACGAGACAAAGGTACTCACAATTGCCACCAACAAGGGAGAAACCTGCTGAAGGGTCAAGAACTTGTGAAATGCCCTCTAAATCACTTCATCCTGCCACCACAAGCAAGACAAAAATGAGAAATTAGGGAGTCTGCCACTTGCCTCTTATACAGGCCACATTTCAGCAATCCTAGAAAATACGTCAGTGGAGTGCCTAAAAGCTCTAGAATCTTCCAGATAGGTCCAGCTGCTAATCACCTATGAGAAACTAGGTCTCAGAAATGCCATTGGATGCAGAAAATGCAAGAGCATGGTCAGAAACTAGGGTTTATCTTGCCACTTTGAAGCCCAGGGAATGATGTGCACCCATCCCCTCCCCAAATGCTGTCCATCTTTTTTAGATCATAAAGAAAAACTTGAAGCAGGGGGAAAAACATATGTATCTCCAGTGGTTCCATTCCCTTCAAAATGCATTCCACCATGAAGGCCTCCTGATCCGGAAATGGAGCTACATACACTCTGGTGGAAAATGCTGAGTCCAAGTCGAGGCAAAGAGATTCACTTCTGGGGATTCGAATATCTCACATACCCAGTGAAAGTAAGCCCTGTACACATCCCACTCCTTCAAAATTGGCCAGGAGTGAGTGCATATCTATCAGTGCTTACCTATCAGTGACTACAGGGAAGTGAGATCTAGATCTTTATGCCTCACCTCCTAGATGTTTATACCTGGTACATTAATTACCCCCCTCTCAGTATTAACATTTTCATCATATTTCTTTTTTAAATTGTGAATGGAATTGTCTTCAACAACCTCTTCCTTCAATACATTCCACTTTCTTACAACATGTACAAGAAATTAGAACTCCTATACATTTCTTAGATTCCATTGCATGCCCAGTTTCCACTGATGTCACCTTGTCCTACCTTTTTTGTTTTTAAATTTGAATGGACTTCCTTTATCCAGTTTATTCTCCTCAAGCTCTTGTGAAACTATCCATGAGAATACGCTACTGTATTCTACATGCCTTAAATGTAAACTGCACTGAAGATTTAATTCCAAGACGACAGAAATGAAACAATCCTCAGAGTACCAGCTCACAGAGAAAAATGACGAATGATGTGCCAGTGCTATCCAAACTTCAACTAACTTCCTCACTGTACAGTACTGTGTGCTCACTGCAACCTTGGTGACCACAGACCTTACCTGGCATCTTGAGGTTATCTTGAGATGATTTTGGGGCTTTAGTGTCCCCATGGCCCGGTCCTCGACCAGGCCTCCACCCCAGGAAGCAGCCCGTGACAGCTGACTAACACCCAGGTACCTATTTTACTGCTAGGTAATAGGGGCATAGGGTGAAAGAAACTGCCCATTGTTTCTCCCCAGCGCCCGGGATCAAACCCGGGACCACAGGATCACAAGTCCAGTGTGCTATCCGCTTGGCCGACCCACACCGATAGGTGGGGGAAAAGCTCATGCAGGACTACTTGAGTCTGTTAAGTGAAAATTGTGGATGGCAAATTGAGCCCAAAAGTGATATGTGAGGTGTGCCACTCAAGACAATCTCCGAACTGTGGTTGGATGGAAACAACAACGAGCTTTCCGCACATCCAGGGAAAACGAGCCTAAATTGGCCTCGTACCACCTGGCAAACCAAGGACATAGAAGTCATCTGAAATGTTGAATAGGTGATGAACTGACCGAGCCATGATAGGCCATGATAGGCCCAAAATAAAGTAGGACATTGGAGAATTTTAGTATCTTATTTCATAAGACTCGGTTATATTACTGTACTTATTTTATAGTTATAAATAATATTTACCGAATTTTTTTAAAATGAGTGTAATGATCTTTTTCATTTATTCTTCATTTTATAGGTGTGTCCTTTAGCAGTGTGGCATTAATTGCTGGGAGCATCTGTAACAGCGTCACTTTCACCAGCCTTGTGTCCCCACTCACTGAGTTTATATCCAGGGTTTCCAAAAACTACAATCTAGTTAAGGTTAGTATTGATAGTTCATATTAAATTGTTTGACTCAGATTTATATTACAATAACTGTAATAGTAACATTTAGGTAAATACTGGAAACATGGTATTCTGTGAATTTATGCCCACTATATGCATGGGGTATCTTTATAGCCTACACCTGCCCATCCATCTCAGTATACACCTGCTCATCCATCTCAGTGTACCTACCCATCCATCTTAATGCACACCTGTCCATTTAAACACACCTGTCTCAAATATCTACATACCACTGCCTTTCCATCTCAATGTACACCTGTCCCTCAAATCTACACATCCTGCTCCTCCATCTCTGCATACAGCTGCTGCAGCTGGTTTTATGGAAGGACTTTCCTCTATATCTTCCTGAGCTACCTACTTGCAGTCCTTCAAACTGGTACAACACCAGGCTCCATCGAATCACAAGTACTTACCAGAGACTAGCACAATAATCTGGCCCTCTCAATAGAGGCAAGGGAAATCTACGGGTACTAGACTACTACTAGACAATGAAAAAAAAACAGAAAAGTAAGAATAAAAAAAAAACAAGGGACTTGCTTGGACAACATTTGCACTCCTGTTCTAAAGGATAAGCATGTAGAGTACATGCTTATTGTCCGAACCCAGTTTCTTGTTTGCTCCACATCCACGCCATCGGATGGCAGCCCAGAGTTCCAAAGTGATCTGTTCAATCATTTATGCACTTGCTGCACCCCATGGTGCAGGTTCTCCTAGTTCTTCCTGGCTCTGTGAGTGCCAGCCCACAGATTTCAGGTAAGTGTTGGCCGTTCTTTGAATTCTGTCCCATTTGGTGGCCTGTGCTTCTGTCTTTTCTTGCATCGCATGCATTTTTTTTATGCCAACCTGTTGCATGTGGCCAGAGTTGCATTCTGTTGTTTTTTCTTGAAAAGGTTGGGAAGTCCACCCTTGGGGTTACCTTCTCTTTCAGGGGCCCCTTCCGGGGTCCTTTCACTGCATTTTCCAAGGTCAGGTTGTCATGAGTTTCGATTATGTTACCCAGTGCCTAACCTCCCTGATGATCTGTTGTGTGTTAAGTTCCAGTACACTAGTTTCCCAGCAAGTTTTGCTCATGGGGGAGTGTTGTGCTCCCCTTTGAATTTGCTGCCAATCTTGCTTAGTGGCTTCTCTGGGTGCTTCTTTGACATTGTGGCTTGTCACCCTTCTGCTGGATGCTGATTTTACTGTGGCACTAAAAAATGATTTCCATCACAGGTTTGTGGTGTAAGTGATTTGTACTGCTTTTATCCAAATCAGTGCCATCCACTTAGTCATGCAGCCTTCACCTATCTCCCAGTGGATACACACAAAGTGGACCTTAAAATCTATTCCAAGTAAGCAGTCTTTTTTTTTAACTAAGTTTAAGTGATTTGATGTACTGTACTGAAAAGCTATATTTTTTTTTAGTGAATATGAAAGAAATTTAAAATCAATTTGTTAAAAAATTAATGTATTGTATTTTTAAGTTCTCAACTAATCCAAGAAAGAGGATATGGCAAGACAAAAATAATAATTTGTAGCTCATTATTCATTTGTTTTTAGTATCTAAATAATTGTCATAACATATTTTACAGAGACGAAAAGCAAGCATTATTGGTGGTACACTCTATCTTAGCAGTACTTCCTAATGATGCTAACATTCAACCATCGACCATAAATTTACAGGATTTTGACACCAACAATGAAAAGATACGGCATCAGCTGCTGGCCAAGATGAAAGAGGCCACCAGTTATGTTGTGGATGGCTACAAAGCTCAGATGAACCTACACAAAATGCACAAAGGTGCTGCTGATGATATCAAAATAATAGATCAGTCAAGAGTATCACAGGTGAATAACCAAACAAAAGTCGGATCTAAAAATGTAAGAGGTGGACCACAGGAAGCCATTCAGATTAATAATGAAAAATATATGAATGAGAGGGAAGATATTTTAGCTAGGAAGGGAGATGTAACATTTGATGCACAAGTATATTGTCTATGGAGAAAGAAATTACATGAAATTCAATGTGAAATGGATAATTTATATGTAAAATATCTTGAATAAAGATACAATTTTTTAAGGTGAAAGTAATTATTTTTAATGCATACTGACTTTTCATTTATATCCTCAAAATATTTTAGACAAGTATCCATGTAAATTGCATTATATTTTCAATAGTGCGATGATTGTTGTACAGAGTAGGGTGTTGCATACTGTAGGATGCTGTAGTATGCTATATGCAGTAGGATACTGTAGTGTACTTTATACAGTAAGATACTGTAATATGTTGCATACAGTAGGATACTGTAATGTATTATATACACTAGGTTACTGTAGTGAACTGTATACAATAGGATACTGTAGTGAACTGTATACAGTAGGATACTGTAGTGAACTGTATACAGTAGGATACTGTAGTATGCTCTGCACAGTAGGACACTGTAGTATGCTCTGCACAGTAGGACACTGTAGTTCACTGTATGCAGTAGGCTACTATAGTATGTTGTAGACAGTAGACTACTGTAGTGTGCTGTATACAGTAGACTACTGTAGTGTGCTGTATACAGTAGACTACTGTAGTGTGCTGTATACAGTAGACTACTGTAGTGTGCTGTATACAGTAGACTACTGTAGTGTGCTGTATACAGTAGACTACTGTAGTGTGCTGTATACAGTAGACTACTGTAGTGCACTGCATATTGTAGGATACTGTAGTGTCAGGGTATTGAGGTAGATTCTTTATGCCATAGTAACCACAAAGTTATTACAATCCAGATGTATGTATCCTGAGTCACAATACAGTATTATTATTTTTTGCAGCAGATGTTATCATTTTTATATACAGAATTTCTTTTAATTTATTTTATTTAGACATTGTGGCATTCTGTATTTGATTTTGATTGATGGAAGTAGCAGTTGCTAATAATAGTCAATCAGTGTGCCAGGTTTGTTCATGGCTGTATCTTGAAAGTAATTATGTTTTAATAGAAAATAATCAGTCCCCGTGGCGTACTGGTAAAGCACTTGGCTGGAGCTTCGTGAGCACTTTAGCCTGGGTTTGTATCCTGTCCAGGGAGGATTGACCGAGTGCCAGTCCTTAACTGTAGCCTCTGTTCACCCAGCAGTGAATGGGTACCTGGTTGTTAAACGATTTGGTGGGTTGTATTCCAGGGAAAAAGTTAGGATTAAGGACCTGCCTGAAATGCTATGCATACTAGTGGCTTTAAAAGAATGTAAGAACTCTTGTATATATAAATAAAAAATATTAATTTTCTATACTATTTATATATCTTTACCATCTACCTGATGGTAAGTGCCTTTTTGGTAAAAAGGTGTCTTAGAGTTCTCTTGCTAAATTATTGTTTCAACACACGTTGAAAAGGCTGATTGACTGTCCACCAGTCACCCCAGCAATGGCCACGTGTGATACCATATAAGAGAGAGTTTGAAACAGAGTATGCAAGTCCTTGCTACTATGCTCCTAGAGTATAATACATAACATGAAAATAAGTAAGTCACATGACTTTATATGGCCCAGGACAGACCGAAACTTTGTCGTATCGTCATTTTCCGGTGTGTGGTTTGGTCATCATGAAAATAAGCTTTCCTTACTGAAGTAGACTTGGTAGTTTATATTATAATACATTCAGGTTTAAAGATATTAAGGAATATAACTATAGTTGGTAGTACTATAACTATAGTACACCCACTATAGTTATATTCCTTAATGCCATAAAAAATCATGCCTTCAGTTATTGCATATGTAAAGTGCCTCTCCGAGTAGATAATTCAGCTGGTTCTATGCTAGCTATGGGAATTTCCAATGAGTACCTATAGGGTCATAATGGTGTTAGGGAGTTACTGAAGAACATTCATTCCAGCCTTGAATGACTAAAAGCAGTTCAATCATAAAACTCAAGCTCTTCAGAACACTCCATTCATATCACAAGTGACTGCCAAGAAAAAGCCCCTAGGAACTTCATCTATGATTCTACAGCTGAGCAACCTCATATTCATCCTGATGCAACGCAGCACATTCTGAACAGTTGAAAAGGGAAGGCATAGGCAAGTGCATTCATATCATATACTGTAACTCAAAACCTCAATTCTGATATACTGTATTTAGAATGTGAGGAACATAAAAAAAAAAAAATAGGAAAGCCTGTGCTTTCAAGGTGAAATGCACACCATCTAGCACGAGAGAACAAGTCGGGAAAAAGAACTGATGCAGGCACCCCCCCGTATTATGGTCTTGTAGTACAGTTTGGGGTACATGAGTCGGAGATCTCATGAGGATGTATGGGCAAGGAAAAGGCTTCGAGGAGCATTTTAAATGTTAGGCAATTTGTATGTTTTTCTCTTGTGGTCTTACTCTGAATGGAAGTGTTTGGAAAGTATTAATAATACATCAGATTAAGCTATCATTTTAGATTTGTATTATGTACATTACATTTTCAAAGTCAAAAGTGTAATAATTAGTATTTACAGTACATTAGAATCCTGTTTGAATAAAAATTGGTGCACTTGTAAGCTGAATGTAATGGGAGAAGTGTTCTGACAGAACGATCATTACATTTGGTTATACAGGAAATAGAAAAAATTATTTAAATCTTGGGTGGAGCAAGCAGGTACTGAACCAGAATTCAATGACCAGAAGTTGTAAAGAATTTCAAATCAGTTGAAAAACATATGGTTTCAAGTAATTTTGGGAAGTTTTAAATATAAAGATATTGTTAAACTAGGTCACCAAATTCTGGTACATTGAATGCACAGGCTTTCTCCACCTGAAGAAAGGTGGTCAATGCACCTCCATAATAGTAGATTCCTTGTAACCAAATAGTAATATGTTGTTATTGAGTATAAGGGTATACAAACTTACTATTAATAATAAACTTATAAAAATGAAAAAAATGTGCACAAAAGTGTTCTATTATATGTTTGAATAGTCATACAAATATTTTAAGCAGACATGAAAAGTAAAATTAACTACTATAAACTTTATATATACTATTTAGTAAGAGTAAAGAAGTGACAAATTTACCTGTGTACAGCCAGCCACCTCTCAAAAAAAAAAATTAATTGGATTTTTTCTTCCTAGTTAAGTGATTGAATTTATTATACTGTATTTATTGCCCAAAGTACAATGGTTACTAAAATACTCTGAATTGATAATAAATTACAGTATGCTGCCAAGCACAGATCTCAACATTATAGTAGTCCTTAAGAATGTATTTTCTAGCAGACACCAGTTATCAATGTAACATTCAAGTTCAACAATACACATCTCTGGAAAACATAATAATTGTATTTTTGGTCATTAGCTTATTGTTGTAGTAACTTGTAACCTTTTGGTTTGAGTTTTTCCTCCAAAAATTGCTGTTTTATTTTCTGCTTTTCAAGTTGGAGACTTTTCTGGCGTTCAATGGCAAACTTTGTTTCTTTCATAAGTTGTATGACTTTAGCCTGTTAAGAAAAAGTCATAGATTAATGCAACATTTAATAACAGAACAAAAAATTCCTTGTTCACAATTATACATATACTGTAATATCAACTCCACTTAACACTTTCATTCATTACATTACATTATACTACACAAAATTCAACCACTACCACTGTACAGTATGTACTTAAATTTTCATACTTATTTCACTGGCATGCAGTTCTGAGTAATACCTGGACACACACATCTTACCACTACTATTTAGGTTCTCTCAACCTGTCCTCACGCTTAATTCACTACAATATTGACAACAGTGACATCAAAATTCCAGTGGTTTAATGAAATTAAAAGCTAATGTTGACAGTTAACCAGACAAATGAGTAACAACCTCGATAGGGTTAACTGGGTTACCTAGCTTCAAATGCTTCTGGTTAAGCAAAACCATTTCAAATATGACATGTCATGTCATGAAAATGGGCTGTATTTTCCATGGTTAATTCGATCAGTATCATAATGCTCTATGTCACCAACGAAGAAAATTTAAACCATCCCAAACAAACGATAAGTTTTTTTATAAAATATATATTTATTTAAAAGAAAGCACAACAGATTTTTTAATCACAGCACTCTAATTTAAATCAGTACAGTACAGTATTCTAAATGGTTTCCCATTGTTGGGGGACAGGAACCCTGCTTAGGCTTATCAAGTACCCCAAGACTAACTTATAACCTCCAGAATGTAATCCATACCAATTGCCACACTTCCAGAAACCTACAATATTTAATGCTACATGAACAGAGGCACTAGATGAAAGGAAGTACAGTATGCCCAAATATTTATCTCTTGTTGTGGGAATCAAGCCACCTGTTATCGATTGACTATGCTGACATAATCCAGCAGATGCAGCATAGACATATTTTTAGTTTTCTTACATACCATGAATTTTTTGTATAAATATTATCTCAATACTAGAGTACAGTAAATATACCAATATTACCGAAACTTCCCGCTGCTCCTGAGCTCTTCTCCTCTGTCCAACACGAAGTGGAGTGGGTCGACCGTCAATGAAGGTGTAGTCAACCCCATCAATCAGTGGTCCACAGGCTCCCATTGATGTTTTAAAACTAGTGAGTTGTTAAAGAGATATAAAAGTGTCAAAATATACAGGCCATTCATATCTTTTTCTGCTACTGTATTGCATTACAGACTTAAGTTCCTTAACTTGTTCCACACAACAGTATGGATTAATTCAAAGCTGCTGGATTCATGCATTGGCACTAAATTTCAAAATGCTAATATTTATACTTTAAAACTACATAAAATAAAAAGCATATTGAGTCAAATTTGGGAATGGCCATAACACAGCAAAAGTGAGCAGTTATAACTTTTTGAACTGTTGACTTTCATTAATCTTTGTTACATGATTGTATTCCCAAATTTGACTCAATATATTTGTTAAAAGTTTTTCAGAGCTAGCCCCTCGGAGGCCTACTGCCTGAGGCTCTGGTACCAGAGAGAAATACAAATCCTACTATATATCTATAGTTTTTCATCATCATCTTACTAAATGCAAATATCTCGTTAATTTTAACATACCCTTTTTGGAACTTTCTTAATGCACATGGTGTAGTTGATATATGCCTGGAATTTGCGTATCTCAAAGCACCTGGAAGAACAGAGTATATCGAGATATAGCAACACTAAAAATAATGTACTATATGATATAGCAACACTAAAAATAATGTACTATATTGCCTTATACAATTACAAGTATTGTGTATATATCCACAGATTTAACAAATATATCTATAACAAACCTATGTATCTGTAGCAAATATAATAAGACTATATTTATATTTTATAATAAGATTACATTATATTTATATTAAGACATTATATTTATAAATAATTTTCTGTATACTGTTAGAGAAAATATATACAGAGTAATACAGTACTAATGTCACACTTCCTGATAAGTTTAACCGGAGAAAACCACCAGCAAGTTTGTATATATGTACAGAATATACATATTTGTGTATATACATTGTATATGTATATATATACATATAGGTTTCATGTCCACGACAAAACGAGTGATTATTATTAAAATCCGTCAGCGACCAGCCTAATGTACGCATTTCCCGGTGTCCATCTACGGCTGAAAGTGGTACCTCTGATTTCACAAATTCATAGAATTTTGTCTATTCACCACCAGACCAAAACCCCAAAACAACCTATTATTAACATGTAATCTTACAACTTGCTATCTACCATTAAATAGTAAAAACGTTGCGTAAAATGCCAGCAAGACTACCATTGACGCTGAAGAGGCCTCGAGCAACAGAGCCAGCCATGCTGGTGTTTGTTTACCTCCCGTTTTCTGTGGCCAGCAGCACCACAGCGGGGACTACTGGTCTAATTTATTATCTGCCTTCTACAGAATAATAATAATAAAATAATAATAATAATAATAATAATAATAATAATATTAATAATAATATTTTATTCAGGAAAAGTACACACATAGATGCAGAGTTACAAACATAATGTTGGATTTATAGATAGAGCTAGTGCATACAATACCTAAAGCCATTAATACGCATAGCGTTTCGGTCAAAAATCATTCATGTGCCTCTGTAACTTTGACCAATACCGCCCACAGGATGGGTATGGGGTTCATTATAACAGTTCACGGCCAGTACACCCAATGACAGACTTCAGACTTCAAAAAGAAGTGTTAAGTAAAACTCAATGTAAAGTAGGTCAAATACAATACAATACAATACAATTTTATTTAGGTAAGGTACATACATACAATAAATTTTTACAAGGATTGGTAGACTTATAGGTAGAGCTAGTACATACAATGCCTAAAGCCACTATTACGCAAAGCGTTTCGGGCATGATAAACTTAAATGACAAGCTTAATACTACAGTAATTGAGCATAATGAGTAGAATGAAAACAAGAAATGAAAGCATAGATGAAAAAGCAGCACAAATACAATTATGTCGACAAACAGCGCTCTTTAAAGAAAAAACACAGACATTGGTTGACAATAGAAGGGTAAGGTAGGTTACAGGGAATTTATTAGGTATAGCTTCGCTTTTAACTTAAACTGGTTGAGAGAGGTACAGTCTTTAACATGGTTGGGAAGGTCATTCCACATTCTGGGCCCCTTGATTTGTAGAGCATTTCTAGTTTGATTAAGACGTACTCTAGGAATATCAAAACTGTATTTATTTCTGGTGTGATGCTCATGGGTTCTGTTACAACCTTCTATGAAGCTTTTGAGATCAGGATTGGCATTATAGTTTAGCGTTTTATATATGTATACTACACATGAGAGAATGTGCAGTGACTTAATGCCTAACATGTTCAGAGATTTGAGTAGGGGTACCGAGTGATGTCTGGGGCCAGAATTGGATATTGTCCTAATAGCAGCTTTGTGTTGAGTAATTAGAGGACGTAAGTGATTTTGGGTAGTAGAGCCCCAAGCACAAATACCATAGTTGAGATATGGATAGATAAGGGAGTAATAGAGAGTCACCAGGGCAGGGCGTGGTACATAATATCTGATCTTAGAAAGAATGCCCACAGTTTTTGAAACTTTTTTTGATATGTTTAGTATGTGTCCCTGGAAATTCAGCTTGTGGTCAATGAGAATGCCAAGGAATTTGCCATCTAATTTGTTACAAATTTGGGTATTGTTTATTTTGAGATTTATTTGATTAGAGGATTTATTGCCAAACAGAATATAGAAGGTTTTGTCAATGTTAAGGGTGAGTTTGTTGGCAGTTAGCCACAGATGAACTTTATTTAGCTCAGTATTTACTGTGGCATTTAGAGCAAGGTAATCAGGTAAGGTAATCAGGTAAAAAATCAGGTAAAAAGTCTTCAGACACAAATAATGCTCTCCACTGTCGTGTTAGGTATTATAATCGTGCAATAGATTGGATTTTTTTCTAAAATAATCTTTCCTGCCTCTACTCTACACAGACGACGTCTTGTCAAATGGGTTCTGGTACACAACCTACCCAACATGAACCTGAGTCCTGGCTCTGTTGCTGTTGACTCTTCCCTTTCACAGTACATACATTAATGCTCCAACCTTCTTAACAAACGTGATCTGACTTAAGCTTTGCCACTATCTCTTATTCTTACCTCTTTTCTTATTCTTATCTTTCATCTTAAATTATTCTTACCCTCCTTTTACCCATACCTTCATCCTTTCTATGGATTGGATGAATGTCTTTCATCCTATTATAAGAACAAGATGAAGGCTATTTTTCACCTTTCATCTTATTCTTACCTTTTTCTCTTACCAGATCCACGACTCATATCTCTCTCTCTCTCTCTCTCTCTCTCTCTCTCTCTCTCTCTCTCTCTCTCTCTCTCTCTCTCTCTCTCTCTCTCTCTCTCTCTCTCTCTCTCTCTCTCTCTCTCTCTCTCTCTCTCTCTCTCTCTCTCTCTCTCTCTCTCTCTCTCTCTCTTACCTTATTTATTTGCCATTACCTTCTTTTCTAATATCACACCACTTGATAATTGTCCAAAACAGACCGAAACGTCGTCGTTTCTTATTTATTTATTTTGTTTATTTATTTATTTATTTATTTATTTATTTATTTATTTATTTATTTATTTATTTATTTATTTATTTATTTATTTATTTATTTATTTATTTATTTATTTACTAATTTATTTATTTATTTACTTATTTATTTATATCATCATTTCCTGACGTATGGTTTGGTCATCATAATAATATATTGAAAAATATATTTACACAAAAAAGAGACCAAAATAATAGATGGAAATTTGATAGGTTTAAATTAAGAAAAGACCTTGGCATATATATTTTTTTAAGATTATTTGAACGTGGCGGGTTATGACATCAGGAGAAAGGGGGCGTTGACTGACCAATCACCAGCAAGAGCTGCTAGTGTCAATATGGCAGACGACATGGGGAAATCTAAATGACACAGAATTTACCGTATCTGGTGAGTAAACGCTTATATCTGCTAATACCACTGGGATAATAAGGTCAAATATTGCATAAGGCCGCTTTGTGATCTTGGAAGACGTGGTTGTTAGTTAGTATTTGTTTATTTAACTTGTAATTCGCCTGTGCTAGTGTCTGTCCTATTCAGTACCAGTACTTTCTACAGTACTTCATTCTCTTGTTTTTGTTTTTTTGCCCTATCGAATAATTATGATGTCTTGAAGGGAAAGTGAAGAGGTAGTACATGAATGTGTAGGGTGAGTTTAGCCCTGATATGATGGGCCTCCAGGTGGCGCCAGCAGCGCCTCTGGGCGCTGGACCATCTCTGGGCACTGGACCAGTACAGTGGTTGTGGCAGTCATTCTCATCATTAGCAAGTTTGGGATTAACAGATGTTGGCAGTTGTGAGGTAGAACTTCTCTAATGACCGTAGCTACAGAGCGTTTGTGTGTGTGTGTGGTTGTGGGGCTTTACTGCCCCAAGCGATTCGTTTCAGTCCCGACTTGGAGTACTGTCCAGAAAAATCCCTCGACTGGAAACGATGACTTGATGCACCTTGTTCACAATATATATTTACCTGCATTTATCCCAGTGCCGCTATCTTTTTAGTTTAGTGTCTTGCCCAAAACGCTGTGCATGCTAGTGGCTTTACAAGACTGTAAAATCAACTTCATTTCTATGTTCTTTCTTAACCCCCAATGTACCTTCATGTATATAAATAAATAAATATATAAAAAGTTTCCTCGACAGGGGTAGGAAACTGGGGGCGTGTTTGTCGTTAGGTTACAATAGGTTAGGCTTGTTTTGAAAGCAGCAATGATATATGGTGGCATAAATTTGTAAAAGTTTTGTACCTTACTCCTTCAGTCTTGACAAGTTACTTGGTAGAAAATGCAAATGCATGTTTGGCCCCTCTAAACTTTCTCCTGTGAGGAGTGTGAGGTTTAGGACCACCGCTGTCACTGGGAGCGTCATTGATGTACTTGATGTCTATGGGAATTTCAGGCTAAATTTTGTTGTTGTAATATACGTTATATTCTTGTTTATAAATACTTGTATCAGTAGGAGGGAGAAGATTTGTATACAATTTGAAGTTTGTCTCTGATTTATAATGGAAAATTATTGTTTATATTCTCCTGCTTAATTTGGTAATACAGTTCTATATTTAAAATTTGCATGATTATTTTTCATAAAGCTAGAGTATTAAACAGAAATGACATTTTGTTTAACATGCACAGTATTCAGTGAAGTTTGTTAAGATAGCCCAGGTTAAGTTAGGTCAGGCAGAGATCGGTTCTGTAGAAAACTATGAATATTTTACCTGAAATGAAGAGCTCTGAGGTGAATATTCCAACTAAAATTTATTTCGCATGTCACACTTAAAATGAGTGTGACTGTTGAAGACCTATGAACAAACTAGAGATCGAGTGTAATCAATTGATCGTTATTTTAACTTACTTGGCATAGAGAACAGTGTGGTCCAGTTCTTGTAACTATCATGTGACTATCCTTACACTGCCCTTAGCAAAAAAAGTTAAGCAAGCTTAACTATGTATAAATTATGAAAAAAATCAGGCTGAGCTTGAGTGCAGTCAAGTACTGTATTATAATACCCTTCTTTTAAACTGGTTTTCTATCTCTGAGAGAGCTATTACAAATGACAGATATAAAATTTAAAGGAATATTTTTTCCCTCACCCCTAACTGCACATTCTAAATTAGATTAATTTTCAGGTATGCATAAAAATATATATTTTTCCTTTCTATGTCATAAAATAGTTTTCTGATGATGGAAAAAACATTCTAATAATTTTAGTTTTTGTGTAGTGAGGTGAAGAAAGATTGACATTATTTTTTATAAATAATTCTCAATCTAGTCATTTGTAATAGATTTATCAGAACTAATATCTTCCAGGTCTATATTTTTACTTTGGCTCGGGAAGGAAACCAAGGCTTTCACGATATTTTTTCCCGTATGAAACATTATTATCAGAGGTCTCTATTGTCAAATGATGTTCATATAGAATCTTTAGGACTTTTGAATATTAGTCTCCCACACACACACAGATAGACCACCATCACTTGAAGACAACAGGAGCAGTTTAAGGATTAAGCCTAATATTTCTAGTGACTTTGACAGACTGGAAGCTTATGGCTTATTTTTTCATTATTCCTGAGAATTTTTTCAGATGTATTTTTTTTTTTTTTTATTAATACATTAGGTACATCTGCATTTGTGAAGCTACCCTAGACTACACGAGGGGGAGTACAGAGTGTCAAAAAGCTAGCTACGTGATGCTAAAAAATCCCTATCACACAGGATGTTTAGTCATACAGAGGCATGTGATAAGTAGTCTGCACTGGCAGACTCTGGGTACATTATGAGGATATCATGAGCACAAGAGTGAATAAGATAGCAGTGGTAATAAAAGTCCCCATCTCGCAGGATGGTTAGTCATACAGGGCCATATGTTTAGTAGCCTGCACTGGCAAATTTTGGTAATAGGCATAGTAGGACGTAGTGTATGTTTAAAATTTATGCATTTTGAATTTTGGCAACAAATTGAGAGAGAGAGGTGTGTAAAGTTCAACACATCTTGGGCCCTTTGTAGTGAGGAGTTTGGTCATTGTTCTCTGTCTTGCACAAATCAAATGTGGCAGCCATATACAACTGTTGCTGTGATGCCAATTTCCTGGATCTTAGGTTAATGTTATTTCAAAGGTTGGCGTGAAAAATAGGAATTAAAAAAAAACTACAAATTGGGAAACACGAGATAAAACTTTGGATCTGTGTATCTCTAACTGCTGTAGTACTATGAATATTTCAGTAATTTTATTTTCCTCTTTAGATCAAATTGAATGTGCGTTTTATTTTAATAGAATGCTGAAGCCTCTGAAGTTTTTAAGGCATTTTTCCTTTGAGCTTGTCATTAGTTTTATCTTTTACTGTATTTCAGAAATTTATTTGTATGCTACAATGGATGGACTGGTGGGTGTCCTGGAAGATTGGCTTGGGGAATGTGACAGTGTCAATGATTGCAGACTAATTTATGAATATTTGCAAAGTGATCAAGAGAGACTTATTCATGCAATATATACAGTCTTTGATGAGAGATCAAGGTATGTTCCCTCAGTTAAGTTTGTACTGTGTACTGTATTATTTAATGTTTTTCAGCTTTCTGTATTACAAGGTTTTATTAATCTCATTAATTGTGTGTGGAATATGTATGTATACATATATACAATGTGTATATATGTGTGTGTGTATATATGCACTTTGGCATACCTGGTACCTTAACCACTAGACCACACTGACTGTACAAATATCTTGGTAGTCGTGAGACTATTTATCCATGATCCGACAGTGCTCGGTGGTCAACTTGGGCATAGATATTTCATCAAATCACCTCACTTGGTGGGTGATACATATGTATCACATATGTATACATGTATGTATACATACATGTATGTATATATACATGTATGTATACACATGTGTACGTATGTGTACAAATTTACATAACATCTAGTTATCTGGATTTTTGTCCGGATAAGGTGAGTTATACAGGAAGATTATCCGGTCATGATTTTGGCCAGATAACCCAAATATTCAATTCAGCAGGCTTTGGATAACTGATCAATAATATGTTCAATATATTATATAATAATAATATGTTCAATATAAGATAACAATATGTTCACGAAATAAATTCTGTATTTTGAGATATGCACAATGCATGACGGCAACAAATTCTTTGTGGAAGGTCTTGCTAACAGCTGAAAATAACTTGTTGGGTTCCAGTCAACTCTTTATATATTAAATGCTGTACTTATTACCATACTGTGTTATTTTCTGTGACTGCAGTGTATTAATTTGGAAAATTTGAAGAATCATTAGACATGGCTGTACACATGCCTTGATAAATATAAAACAAAGCGTTAACTTTTGACTTTTGGATTATTTAGGTTAGTATTTGGTTTACTGTGTAAACTGTTTAAATTGTGTTTAATAGTAATATTAAAAAGTTAGTTAGAGAAATCTACATGTTTTAGCTTTCTTATCACATGGTTATGCCAACTGAATGTAAAAATATAGTGCTTGCTAAGATTAATTATGTTTTACACTGAAATTTATCATTGTCACAATTTTCTATTTTCTTTAGGTGTCCAGATTTGTTTGAAAGCACAGTGAAGCAGCTGTTTGCCTTGGCACGCAGTAAAGATGAAAGACTACGAGAGTTTGTTCTCTTGTTTGCTCCCTGCCTTCTCTATATATATTTGTCATCCATCAGCTTTGGTGACAAAAAGGTACCTGTATATGTATATATATATATATACATACTGTATAGCATTTATTTTGTTATTCACTTGTATACTTATTTGTGTAGAATGGCCCTAAGCTACATTTTATAACATTCACTCAGGGACCCTCAGTCAGTCCTCAGGGTTTTCTAGTGCAGTGGTCTATGTCGTTGACTCAACTGAGGGTCCCAGGATTGATTCTTGTGGTAGGACAGAAATAGTTAAGTACATTTACTTTCACCTGATGCCTCTGGTCACCTAGCAATAAATTGGGACCTAGGAGTTAGGCAACTGTTTAGGGTTGTATGCTTGGGAAGGTAAGTAGTTGGCCAAAGGGAGAAACCTCAATGAGCTTAAGTACAGGCTTCCTTAGTCTTAAGTACAGACTTCCGTAAGGAAGTACAGGCTTCCTTACTTTGATAGTGGTTAAACATTACATTGGATAATGATAGTGATGTGAATGTTGTACTGTATTAGTTTACCAGCTTCCAAATTCAAGCTGATTGGTCAGTAGTTACAGTGCAATAATGTATTGCCCTCTTTATATATATTCATGTAACATTTACAGGTATTCATGTACAGCTCTTGACGGTAATTACGGTAAATACTGAACAGCTATTGCTAAAAGCAGGACTTAACACCATTGAGAGAATAATCAAGCAAGAGCTTGGATGAAAAACTCTTATGACTTGGGAAGAGAAGTGGCTTAAGAGAATAGGAGACCTGGATACAGGAAACCAGACCAACAATGAGGGCACAATAAGGTCCACCTGGGTGTTGGCTTTTGGCACTGCTGAAGGTGTCCCTCTGCCTCATAGCTGTTGTGATGCTCTTTTGTGTTTAGTATGCAGAGGGTACAACCCTGCTTTAGTTTTCTTCTTCGTTTACATATCTTTTCTTTTTTAGAAATTTCAGCCTCTGTTGAGGTGTCATTGTGAATTAGCTCAGAGTGCTACCACAGGGGTCCGCCCAGAAATCAAGCATTGAATGTAGTTCCTTCCCACTCTAGCCCTGTTCCCTTTTTTTCTGTCAGGGAAAGAGGGGGGGGGAGGATGTTTGAATTAAGCGGCTCATGAGAGAGGGGTTAAGCAGCATACCTCATGGTGACCTGCGTTGCCAGATGGATCATAATAATGCTGTAATTCATTTTGTTGGGGACAGACAGCCTGTGTATATATTCATTATATATACTTGTATCGAGGTTCCCCGTAGGTTGAACCTGCAACCCCACAACAAACTGACTAACTCCTGGGTACCTGCTTACTACTAGGTGAACAGAGGTATTAGGTGATATAAAACCTGCCCAATTAGTTCTCTCCCGCCCGGGATTCAAACTAGGAATTTCCGACTGTAAGCCGAGAACAAACCCAACTGTACTACCGGGACCCTGAGTTAGTGTAGTTACTTTGCAGCAATGATTATTTCCCTCATTCCCTCTGGGTACCTAATTCACTTCAAGCAGCTACTTATTTTGTAGAGTTCATGCTTTCTGGTGAGGATTTTCTCTGCTTTGGGTTGATCTTTGATCCCCGAGCTCCCTTTACCTTGTAGAGAGTCAGATTTTTGTCTCTGCACCCTGTAGGCAAGGGTAGGTCTTTGAGGCATTAGTGCATCTTCCTAAAGGCTTGGCTGGACTATTACTTAGCTCAGGGAGCTACTGAAGGCCTCCAGAAAAGGGGGTCTCATTATATTTAACACAATATTTTTTCTGCTTCAACATGTTTCCATCCCCTTAACATTTAATCATGTTTATTTTCTATTGAATTTAAAAATGAAAATGGGTTACTTTTTGCTCTTCTATGCAATATCCTTTTCAAACAAATCTTTATCTCCTTAATTTTGGTAATTTTTTCCCCCTTTTGTTTCCTTTGAATTTCAGCAGTCATTTTGTTGCATTGTAGTTTTATGTAGTGTATGAATTATTTATTACATGTTTATATTTGAGACAACTTGCCATATACAGTATATCACTTATAAATATTACTTTCCTTTTATTCTGAAAAATTTTGTTTCAACTTGACATGCAGTACTGTAAAGTTGATATGTTCATTTGACATACTGTATTTCTCTTTATGAAAATAAAATCTGTTTTCCTTATATGATTTTGAACCATCACCCAATTCTACTGTATTTTTTATGCATGTGTAGATATATTAAACATTACTTTTATTTTTTAGGGAGTTGGAAGTGTTGAAGTGGCTCTACTGGCTTTGTACAATATGGAGGTGTTGGATGAGCAAGGACAGCCTCGGATCGCTCCCTTTCGTCTTCCTACCCTCGCACGACAGTCACTCTTTCATGAGGTGTGCTAGTTTATTTTTTGTGTGCTTTTGCAAGTACTAGTAATATGTTTCTTGCTGCAAAAATTTGTTTAACTTGTAATTGATGTACTTGATTCATTAAAAAAAATAACAGATCTGAACTAAAATTGTTATTGACCTTTAATCATTTTGTCTAGTACACCATACATGCATTCCAAAGGATTTAATTTATTGCTGTGTCACTACATTTCTTTAATGTATCTCGTGTACAAAAAAAAAAAAGTCAAGCACCAAGTTTCATATTACAGCCTGCTAGTTTAGCTCCTGCTTCTTTCACCGTGGACTCCCTACAAAGATTGGAGGCTGGAGATGCAGATACAGTACGATGGGGTCCACCAACTCAGATGACCTCGGTTACTGCAGCAACGAGGCATCACCTGGCCACTGCCATTATGGTTGCCTTTAATGCTCGATTAGCAACTTTGCCCAAGATGGCCCTTATGCACCTCTGCAAAGCAGTATCCAAGTAATTATTAATGTTAATACGTATTTGTATTTATATTCATAAGTACGTGAAATGAAAATTATGAATGTGCAGAGTTTAGCTTTCATTATTTAACCCTTTGTTACAGCACTTCTGTTTCAGTCCGACTTTTTTTTTGGGGGGGTCTAAATGGGGCTAAAAGAACAAAAATGTTAGTTTTACATTTTATTCTTACAAATATTGATTTAATAATTACACCTTAACTCTTAACAGAGCATAAAGTCTAACAAAGCTTAAAGTCTAACAGAGCATAAAATCAGACAAGCAGGGCAACAGCATCATGCAAGGTAAAAAAAAAGATATATTTTATTTTTCAAAAAGAATCTGTTAAATACGGTGTGTTCATTTTTTATGGTTCAAGGTCACATCCCCCCATTTATAGTGTACAGTAGTATTGCATTTTATTGGAAATCTGATTGTGAGTTATGAATGGATGACTTACGAATGCCTTTTTGGACCCCATTCTGTTAGCAAATTAGGGATTGCTTGTACAGTACATGTATATACAAATAAAGTATTTGTGTGTGTGTGTGTATGTATATATAATTATAATATATATAAAATAAGTAAATAAATACGCACACAGTATACAGTACTAGGACATCAATAATCACAGTGGTACCATATCTATATCTGGCTGGAAGAAGGCGACCCATAGCCTCGGAGAAAAACACAGAAAGCATTTGAGGGGAAGTAAGGAAGTATTGAGAAATAATTGGCATATTTAGGTTAGGTCAAGTTTCAAAGTTAGATTTGATTGTAATAAAAAAAATCTTTATGTAGTATATTATAATTTAAAACTCTATCATTCTATAAGAGAAAATGTTTGGAAAAATTCATATTTTAGAAAATTTAGGTTGTTTATATGTTAAAAAATATTTAATGTTTTCATTAACATGGCAGTAGTAGTAGAAAGAAAATAATATATACTTAATATTTGTAATATTTGCTGCGAGCTTTAGATAAATGTTTGTTTATAATTTGTTTTTCTACGTAGAATGCTGTGTCAGGGATTCAACCGGCCGGGGCATCATCATCGCTCATCTTACGGAAGTGAAAGCAGCTTTGGTCTATATCCCAGGCCGACGCCCAGAATACCTGTTACCTCAGAGCTTCTTAAAGAGCTCCTACATGCTGTATATTTTGCCATGTAAGTTATTTTCTCTTGATACATCATGCTGTTGCACCTTATTTGCATCCTGTGGGAATTTTTAAGAGCAATATATTCACTAATAATGTATTTAATTTAATTTATAGATAAACACCAAACTGAAAAAAATCTTTCAGTTACTATCAAATGTATTGTATGCAATTTTATGCTTGATTATTTGTGTGTTATGCATATGCATTGAAACTCCATTAATCCGAAACTACATTTATCCCGACTTCAGATAACCTGAAATAAAAAATATCTGGACATCATTAGATGGTTCTGGAAATTATCCCAAATCTGGACTAAGTACAGTTATCAGCAAAATTCCAGATACAGTCTTTATTTATAGGCAGTTGTAGATTATTCACATACCGGAAAAGTTTTCCATTTGTCTTGACTCAACACACATTCTGTTCACATTGGCCATGTGGGTCTAGTGGCACTTTACTGACTCAGAGTGGTATCATAAAATCATTGTCATATCAATCATAAACTAGATTGGCTTGGTTATTTGCTTTCCTTAGTTAAATTCTGTACTCTGCATTGAAGCAGCATCTTCTGTATCTTGTAGCAGCCCATCCTCCTGTTTTGGTAGTACATGTACTTATAGTAATGACGAGGACCATAGTACTGTATACCGACGTACAACGAAATTAGAAAGTAGAAATCGGCACTATTGAGTTGGACAAACCGGGAAAACTATTTTTTACTTGTTTTGACAGATGAAACTTGTTTTCATTTTGACAAACAAAACTAACCTAACCTCCCTAGGTCTAATACACGATATCTGCGGCCTAATATAGTACATATGAGCTATACTAGGCCTAGGAACATTTATATTTGTGTTTTAGCTTCATTTTAAATGAATTATTTACTAGTCTACATATGAGCTATACTAGGCCTAGGAACATTTATGTTTGTGTTTTAGCTTCATTTTAAATGAATTACTTACTAGTCAACATAGTACTATCTAAAAGTACGTAAGAATTCGGATTATTGACGATCGTCACAATAGATACTATCTAAACAGGAGGATGGGATGCTTATAGTGGACTGTATTGAGCTGAAACATAGTAGTGCAGTGTTTAGGTTCAGTATTACAATATTTTTTTATTTTACTTTCCATAGTGACACCAAAATTTTGCTATACTGTAATACTGAAATGCACCAAAGAGCCATAACACAAATACAACTTTAAGCAAACCTGTTGCACAAATACAGTTATAATAAAGTATCACCTCAGATTCCAAAATTGTTGGATGTAAAAATAATCAAATCAAATAAAAAACAGATAACTTTAACCTAATATAATTTTTTTTAACTTATTTAAATTTTAAATAAATTTAAAATTTGTAATCTTATGTGAATTATTTTCCTGACATTCAAAGTGTTGTTTTAAACTTCAGTGTGCCTTTCAAGATAAGAAAAGGTATAAATGGAGTGCTGCTAATCTGCCCCAACTGGGGTAACTTATAGTCATTGAACAAACATTGACATGTTAATCTTTTTGCTAGATAAGCTACTCATTGAGACAGTTAAGCAAATCCCAGCTGTGTCTGAGTACAAGTGACAGGATGAACAACCCACCAAGTTACCTTCCTATTGGGGGGTGTTGTACATGCTGCTATGACGGTATGTCTACTCACAGGATGAGTGCCTCTGCCCAATAAAATCGTACCTCGGGGCAAAATTAAACAAAAAAAATCGGTGAACAGCATTGGTAATGTTCAGTACTAATTTTTAAAGGAGGGAAAAAGAGAACCACATGTTAATTATATATACCAAAGTTTGTCCAGTATACCTTCACATCTATTGAGTGATATTCAAACAAGTTTGACTAAAGATGTTGGAAGTCTCCTGAAAGTGGCTATGGCCTATAAGTAGTTAAGGAAGACATAAGGAAGGACCACAAAGACTGGTATCCTTCATAGCCCACAGAATATTAGATCTGGGGATACTTTGGGGAGGTTGGCAGTACCATTGAAGATCCTCACTGTACACGGTGAGGATCTTCACCTGGGCAAAGTTCAGTTAGGGATTGTGTTAAGTGAGGACCCATAGATGATCAAGATTGTGCACAATGAGGATTATGTGTAATCAATATTGTGGGTATTGATGTAATGAAGGTTGTAGTGGGGATTGTGTGTAGTGATGATGTACACCGTTGATGACTGTTAACATTCAACCCACTTAATCTGAGATCAGGGAAGTAGCTGAGCTCGGAAGTGTCAGCTCCTAGCCATCATTTGGCCAATGCCAGATTCCTCTTTCAGTGAATATTATGTCAGAATTTGTATAGCTATACATTAGGCTGTTAGTGTGGTAAGCCTTTATATTCAGGCACATATCTCGGGATTAATTCTTAGTTCAATTACGTTGTCCCTTGAAAAATATTTTTGCTCACTGCATTGATTGCAGATGTGAATGAGATGCAGCCTTCCAGATATTAGAACTCTCACAAGTTCTAATATCTGGAAGGTCTGTATCTAATTCATATGCCCTTTTTTCACCCACCCATTTTCAATCCATGGAATGGCCTACCCACCAAGGCCGTAAATGCCAAGAAACTATTTTCACTCAAAATTCAGTTGAAAAAGTCCTTGGGAACAATTGTAGCCCTTGGGTAAATTCAAGTAAATATCATTTGTCTGTGATGGTGGTGGTGGGAGGTTTTTGTACCCAAGAGCATTTTTTTTTTCCAAGGATGGCAGGCCCTTGCAAGGCTCATCTTTTGAGTCTAGTTAGTAGACCTCTGCTGATGATGATAAAGAACTGGGGAAGGAAAGTAAACATCAGGTGAACCTATTCACCTAGCAGTAAGTAGATACTCAGGAGTTAGCTTGTTGTGGGGTTGCATCCTGGGCTGGGTCAGTAATTTGACCTTGGAGGGACCTTGGTATAGGTCTAACATGTATCAATACAGTCTGGCTGCCTGTCCCTCGATACTATGGATTAAGTAATGGTAATGTCTTCTCACAGACATAATAACCGGATAAAAACTCACATTTGTGTATTTATGAAATTTATATAAAGATATACACACAGTCTTTCGTGTCCTCCTGAGTGCTTTGTCAAGGCCTGAGTATGAGTATGTGGTTAGGAGGAGACTTTATCAACGACTAATAAGGCTGCTATCCCTGGATCTAATCCTCTTGACCTGACCATGTCACCTCTACTCCAGATTGCCAATGTACCTGTGGGGATATCTTCTATGGAATTATTATTGGGTGTCCTTTCTGATTCTTTTATGGAATTTCATAGAAGACATCGCCACAGATACATCGACAGTCGGGAATAGAGGTGACATGGTCAGGAGGTCAAGAAGGATACAAGGATTGGATCCAGGGGTAGCAACCTCATTAATCGATGAGATGTAAGTCTCCCACTAACCACATACTCAGACCTTGACAAAGCATCCATGCAAACAATAGATTTGGTATAAATCTTTACATAAATTTTGTAAATACAGTGCATAAGTGTGGGTATATTATCCAATAAACTATAATTACTATCATTTAACAGCAGCAGAAGGGTTAAAAAAGATACACACATGTTGAAAGTGACCGAAATTGGTAAGCTCATCTTGTTTTTAATTTTTTTTGCTTATAACTGAAAGTCAGATATCCGGATAACCTTGAGCACCATTTTCCTGGATAAATGAGGTTTCACTATATGGCAATTATTTATTTCTGCATGTCTCATGAGCTCATCATTATTAAGAATCCCTTCTAATTTTTCTTGCATGTTTCTTAAGCACATAGAGTACAGGCAGTTACTTTTACGTTTTGTCTCTAGAAAATGTTAACCAAAAAATTTTGCTGTATTATTTAAGGCACACTTCTTGCTTGTTATGAATCTATTAAAGGGCAGATTAGTTATATGATCAAAATAAGTTTTCTAAATTGTTGTATACAAGGGTACCTTGTTGGTTTTTAGTAAAATTGAAGTAGGTCTTTAACTAAAAGTTTGGTTTAGTCATTAGTGAAAAAGGAATTCAAACATAAGTCTCATTAAAACATGCAATACTTTGTAAAACCTTCCCTCACTTTTCAGTAATTTTGTATGCTTACCCAGTATGTTAAATAATTTCATATTCATCTTATTTTCAAGTTTTTGTTCCTTAACTCTTGATGGATTTTTTTTTTAACATGAAAGCTTAAGTATTTTTTCTTGTTGAATCACTTTTAACAATAAATATGCCATCAGCTCCTTTTGACAAATATTTTCCTCAAATACACATGTGTATTTTATTATTTGTTGGGTGTATCGAAGATCATAGCTGGGTCTTCCTTAAATAAATACAGTACTCATTGTTTCATATTCGTTGTTTCACAATGTTTAGTCCAGAGGGAATTTTGAGATTGAGGTTCATTACCTGGGGTTCCGATGGTGCAGTCGGGTTCGTTCTTGATGCGCAATCGAGAATTCCGGGTTTATTCTCGACGCATAATCGAGAATTCCGGATTCGTTCTTGACGCACAATCGAGTTTTCCGGGTTCGAATCCCGGGCAGGACTGAAATAGTGGGGCACATTTCTTTTCACCTAATGGCTCTGTTCACCTAGCAGTAAGTAGGTACCCAGGAGTTAGTGAGCTTTTTGTGGGGTTGCATCCTGGGTGGGGGTCAGTAATTCGACCTTGAGGGGAAGGGGGCAGGGGGATATTGATATAAGCCTAACATGTATGAATACACTCTGGCTTCCTGTGCCCTGACAATGAATTATTACTTTTGTTTTAGTGCAACGAAAATTGGTATGTGATGATGTAATTGGGTGATGGTATATTATTCATCTCAGTTTATCATCCTGAACCAGCTATAACTAAAGTGGATTGGACAGTGTAGGTGCACCAAGCATTGTAACGGCTTTAATTCCAAATATTCTATGATACTGGATTATTGCATACCAATTGTATCCTCTTCATTTTATTAGTTAACTTTTGAAGAATGCGGAAAATGAAGGCTAAATTTTAATTTAGTGTATTCGGAACTTAGATATG